ATAAAGAAAGAATCAATTCTACATTTTTACCACCAAGCTTGAACACTATTTTAAATAATATAAGTGAAAATGGAATCATAGACCACTAATGGTTTATTAATCTCATACAGCTTTATGTGAATATTGTTTATCTAGAATTATAGGGCCAAGTCACGAAGTCCATTAGAGGAAATTACTTATTGAAAATGTATTAATTTAAACTGTCAAGTAGATTAGATCAAAATAGAAGAAATAAAAGTTTGTATGAAAAAATATTTGCCTGTAATTGAATACATATATAGCTCTGGAAAATGAATTGTTAGATGAAATATCATATTTGAAATATGTAAATTTTGAAAAGCCTGAACAATGGAAGAATGAAAAAATGCCAGCCGATAAAGCTGGATTACAGTTTTAAATTGTTTCAATCAGTGCTTTTCAATTTTTAAGATAAATTACAATTTTAGCCAGAGCGCACCAAAGCCGTAAAAAGGATGAGCTCCGGTACTTCTTTTTATAAAACTGAACCACAATTTAAAGGGAAAAAATTTAGAATTCCTAACGTTTTAGTTTAACAATAAGCAGACCTTGTAATACTCTATTTCCCTAGAAATATGAGCTCATGAGAACATGAGACGTTCAAGTAAAGCCCCTCACTCACATGTGGAAATCTTTATCTTTAAGAAAAGCAATAAATTTGGGGGAGTTTGTTTAGGAACGCCTAAATTTCTTGCCATGCCATTGTATCTAGTGTATTGTTACCAATGCTTACAGTTAGTTATCCTTGCAGGAAGGAAAATTTGTGTTCTTAAATGTGCGTTAAGTGACAGCGAGTACAATAAGAGTGAAATACTGAGATAAACTGCTCAAGCACGTCCTATACACCGTCTTCCCACAGTATCCACTAATGGGAGGGAAGTGTAACCAGCAACTTTACATTTAGGAGTTCGATTCATTTACCCCTGACACCCATCTGCTTCATGGCTATAATTATATCAACAGAGAGCTGCGGTCAAAGAGAACGTTCTCTCTCACCAAGATTCCCCTCATTTTTTGTTTCCACCCACTCATGCCCTCATTCTGTTTCGCCCTGGAATTTTCATCAGCTATACTTTAAGTATATTTAATTTTTGTGATGATAAAAGAACTCCCCCCCCCTACGATCACAACTTAAATTGGGCCGGAACCCACCGTATCTGCTCCGGTGCTTTAGTTTTTGTAATAAATCATAATTCTAGCCGGAAATCACCGGTGCCCTGAATAAGAACGCTGCGGCACTTTTATGTAATTGAATAACAGTTTCAGTAGAAATTTTATCTTGAAAATTTTAACAATAAAATTATATTAAAAATCGCATATTAAATTTCAATTTATCTCTTTACATTTTATTTAATTTTTATTAGTTAATTACTTCAATCTTTAATTATTTCAATAAATAATAATTAATTATCTAATAATTATAAATAAAATTATAATTAATTAATTATCTAATAATTATTGATTAAATAACAATTTATAAACATTAATTAAATATCGATTAATTAATTTGATAATAATTAACTATTTAATTTAAAATTTATTAATGAGTTCAATATTCATTTTATTTATTTATTTACTCTTGTTCCTCTCTGCTGATGGTCTTCCATAGGGCTGCGGCACTTCTAATCTTAGAAATTAAACCCTGGTTTCAATAAAAATCATATTTCTTGTTTGCATATTCCAAATGCTATATGATTTGCATTTTGTTTATCTGGTACCAATGTAGCTGTTGAAAGGGTATTTTTTATTATAAATAATTTGCAGACAGCAGAAGAATCACAGTTGAACATTGAAACTATGAAAGAAGTGGTTATAGCTAAATGCAATTTCAACTTAATACTTTTGGGAAAAATTCAAAGAACAAATTGAAAATTGCTATAAACTACTTCAAATTGCTCCTTCACTTTCAAAATAAAACTAATCATGTCTATGACTTATTTATGCTTTAAGTAACTTTTTTACTGTATTTATATGTTTTGTTTTTATTTATTTAATTTTTTTTGGTTAATTGAGAGATAAAAGTTTACAATCAGGTGCTCCTTGATATTATTGGTGATTTTTCTGGGCCCAAGAAGCAATTTTTTTTCAAGATGGCTGTCACCTCAAACAATGCTGAAAGTGTTGTGTTAAAAAAACAACAAAAGTGCTCACCTCATGTGTTCTTAACAACATCTCATCATCAGTGGCCAATGACTGCTGCACATATTTAATGCAAATTATGTAGTCCCAGAATTGATCCTCCTTTTTCTGATCCTTGTACTGGCGACATCATATAAACTCCACTAAGTGGGAATACAAAACATTATCCAACAGCTGCCAAAGACCTGCATGTGAAATGCATTTAATGGTATCTACATGCCCAGATTGGTGTTGGTTTGAGTGCCAATTTCAGACAACTTTCTCAAGACAAACCCACTCGTAACCATCCAGTGGATCTTTATACTCAACCAGGTGCATATTTTTTGTACAAATTTGGCATTTATACTGAGAACTAATTAAACCGTTTTTCATACACTAATCAGTTATAGCTGTCTACCTATTTAGTCTAAATAATTTAAAAAAAAAAAAAAAAGAGCAGGTATTTATCTCAGTAGATTTAGTCCTTCATGAAAGTGATGGACAGCAATTAATTAAAACCAGCCAGCTAACAAATCTTAAGATCTGTTAACGGCCATTCCGGTAATTCAGAATACTGTCAGAATTCAATATATGCGATTTTTTAGTATGTGATACACATATTGCTCGTAGTCCATGGTCATAAGAAAGTTCTGTCTTTTCTGTCACGAATATATTCTCTATTTTATATTGCATCCTGTTTTAATGATCAGTAAAATGTCATAATATGATATGATTTTAAAATTATTCACAATTTTCTCTGGACCACCAGCAAAAAAAAATTTTTTTTTCACTTACAAAGTCTAAGAATGAAGAATCTAATGCTCAAGAAGGTATATTGTAAAAGTGATTATTTGCTCAACTATTTGGGATTCCTGCTTCTCACTTTTAACACTTGCTGACTAGAGATTGCAAGTTATATTTATTTGGAATGGGATGTTATTTGTAATGATTTTCTCTTGTTGGCATAGCAGCTAGGAAGGGATATTTTTTTTTTGCGTAAGGCTTGGTAATGCTTGAAATTGGTTGGTACAGATAAACAAAGCTTGTACTTAAATTTTAGTAAAATATAATGTCTCCATATTATTCTCTCCTCTAACATGTGCATCCATGATTCAGCAAAGGGTATTGGAATGCTGCATGCATTGAAATGCAGATATTAAATAGACTTTTTAATGTCTATTCTAAATTACAAGGTCATGGAAAGACTTGTCTGCAGATATTTTCAAAAATTAAAGAGAAAGCATTAGCCCACTCACCGAAAAAGAAACAGCTTAACCTTTTGAGGCCGGGGCTTTGGTAGCAGTAAAAGCTACCAAAGGACGGGGAATCCTGAACTGAATGCTTTCCCCCTTTAAGAAATCACCTCCTATTTGCAACAAAGATTCTGGTGTGTATTTTAATGGATTCTCAGAGGGGTGCATCTATGCATCAATGTCGACCTTTGAAAGAGATAAGTGGTTAAAACCCTAGGGATGCCAAATTTGACATTTCACTCCACTTTTCAGACTGGAAAATGGGGGAAAAAGACATGGCCACTAAAGTGGACAACCCCGTCTTTTCAAAGAGAGGACTCTATGGCCACTATAGTGGACAACCCCGTCTTTTCAAAGAGAGGACTCTATGGCCACTATAGTGGCCATCCCGTCTTCAAAAGGTTAAAGAACTTGCATTGAAAGAATTGTTTAATAAAAGACACATATAAATACTGAGCCTTTTTTGTAAATTTTGATTTTCTTAAGGTCATAAATGCCTCATTGTTTCATAAACAATTATTTCATGTTTTTAATTTTATAATTTTGTGTTGTCTTACTAGATTTAAACGTATTGTCTTCAATCCCCAGTTGCTAAAGTCCTGACAGTTCTGGATTTTGGGCATTATATGCTTATCAGTTTTAAAGCATCGTTGTTTTAATGAAGATCTTGCAGTGAAGTGAATAAATTTAGTTACTTGAAAACGTTAAGTATATAATATATGGTGTTGAAGTTAGAAATAAAAAAAATTAAAAAATGGGTACTTCTATATTATTATACCTCTTGTTTATTATTATTTATTTTAACAATCATTTGGTAGCAGGATTTCTGCTGAGTTCACATTTGCTCATATATATACTTCGTAACTGCCATGTTTCCGTAATTGCTTTTAGTATGGCATAAGAAGCATATTTTCATCCCAAGAATTTTTTACCATACGAACTCTGCAAAGTAAGGCTCATGATGATGGCAAACTTTGCCTTATATTTATTTTGCTACTTCATGGAGTGCCACACACACTTACAACATTTTGTGTAAGTGTTTAACATTTATGTCGCTAATTTTTTCAAGACTACTTTCTTCATGTATTTATCTGATTAGATGTAGAGAATACCATCTTTCTCATAAATTTGTTTCAGTCAAATGTGTTTTTATAAAGGCCTAGTTGATATTGTGATTAATGATACTGACTTCCATGGAGTTAGGCTATTTAGCCTGGCAGTAAGCATACTTGTTTGTAAGTTTACCTGTAAATGTGTGTGTGATAAGGAGAAAATAAAACACATGATTTACTTGAGTTCTCATCATTAGAAAACTATAAATGATCATTGTTTCACCTGCCAACCATTTGAAGATTATTTATGTTGGGAATTTATCAATAATCTTGGCTTTGTTTACTAAATGGGAGCCATAACAATAAGGTAGTACCAAAAATTATTTTAAATTGTGTCCTAATATCATACATGACAATGTTAACTTAGAAAGGTACTCTTCATTTAAATATTAAAAAAACAGGAAAAATACTTTTTCCTTTGGAGGGGGGGGGAGCATGGGAAATTTTTATGAAACTTTATGCATGCATCATTGAAAAAGATACATTATATTTTTTACAGAATTTCCTAGTGATCATGTCATCTCGAATGGATTTGATGGATCTTGCTCGCCATTTAAGGCAAGAATCACTCTTTGTGTCATCTGAGAAACAAAATTTGCAACATTTAAATGAAAAAGTATGTATGTTCTTACTTTTATATTTGATTATATATCTAATCTGTTATTGTAACTGATAAAAGTATTAGTATGTAGTCTTCTGATTTCAGCAATTTATAAAATAAAAAATTAAGTGTATTTGTATTAAGTGTTATGTCATTACATATAAAGATTGGTTTTATATTTGGCACAAAAATTATAGCTATAGAAAGTAATTAAACATGTAGAACCTTATGTTGGAAAGAAAATACACATCAAAAGACAAAGGGAACAGAAATACTGGTAGATAAATTGAACAATACTTGTAGATTATGCTGATATTTTTTAAAAATATACTTTCAGTTTAAGCTAGTACAGTAACAGTAGTAACTCGGTTTATGTCACTAATCCATTTGAGATCTTTGGACTTGCAATAAATTAGATGTACACCTAGTGAATTCTTCCAATAAGAAATAAAAGGGATAGAATTAATCCGTTCTTATAAATGACTTCTTATTATGACACTGTTTAATACTGAAACACAAATGCAGGGGTGAAATACATACTGAATATAAATAAAAATTTACCAAATTTGTTTATCTCTTTTTTTTTTTTTTTTTTTTTTGTGTGTGTGTGTTTTCTTCTGTCAGATTCCTATTATAGACTTAATTGTCGATCACCAAGACTGACCTGTACTAAAAGTGTGTTCAAAGAACCTTGCTTATACTTTCTCTTCATGATGTTTTAGAAAAATGACATTGTTTGGTCATCCCAAACAATGCTATTAGGTCTTGTTTGAGCTTTGCTGGGATTATACTTCTCTACAAAGTGTTTGACATCCACCCATTTGGCAAACATTTCCTTGATTAATGAAGTAGAGGTTTCTTCAATTTCCTTCTTCTCTGAGCGTAAAGGCAATATAGCCATCTTAGTCTTGTGCTCCTGCCTCTCAAAATTCTGCAGATTCCCAATGGTTACCTCTTCATTTTGTTTCTACAGTAAGTCCACTTCATTATCACTCATATCCCGACACATAGATTTAGCCAGAGAGAGAATAGCCTCAACTTTAGATGCATTTACAACATAAATTTTAGGCTTGTAGACTATTTCAGACCATTAAAAATTTGTTGGAAAACAGAACCCTCAGCCTTTTCAAATTCTTGAAACTCTTTTAAGAAAATCATTGTTACCACATTTATCAGCATCAGCTTTTTCTTCGTGTCTTACAACACTGTGAATGCCTGTCCTCTTTTTAAAATGATCAAACTAGCTATGTCTGGTTTTAAACACATCATTTTCTTTGCTCATCTCTGCCTTTTTTCTTAAAGAAACAGCATGTATCAGATTTGCCTTATCACAAATTATCAGCTCTGATACACTATCGCTAGTTCTGTTATCCAGATCAAAACAGTTTTTTAATAATGTAATGCCTCTGATTTTCATTTGCTACTCTTTTTCCACTCAATTTGCATTCCAAGTTGATTGAGTAGTGTCTTTGTTTTTCCTAATTGCAGACATCATCATTTTTGGCAATACAGTTTGCAATAGCCAAGTTTCAGATAACCATGCCATCTTTCCACTTTTCAGCACTCTCTATTTTCATCTCCAGTGAATCTTAACTACTAGTAAGCTACTCTAGTAATCTTAACCATTTTCTTTATTGGACTTTATTCATGGACTTTCTTAAAATTCATTGTAAGCAAACATTTGTGCGAAAAAATACAAATCATGTTATATCATCAGATTCAGGGTTGTAACATAGCTTGTAGTAACAAGCATACTGACACTTATAGGCAATCATAGCAATGACTTGAAAGAGGTAAACAAGAGTAGAGTGCACATTTGTAACTCATTGAACTCGTTTCATATTCCAAACAAATATTGTTTACCAGACACAAATAAGCATCCAAACAGGAGGTATATGATGTTGGATGTAATTTAAAGCAGGCATATACTGAGATACTGTTGTGATTGCAATGCACTTTTATTAAAAGTTATTACAAGGTGTTTCCCAAGGTCTGGATGATGAAAAATTGAATTTCATATATTTTCGTGTATTAGCTGAGAAAGCATTTTTCAAAGTTAAATTACGGGGGTCAGTTTATATGCAGATCCCACTAATCTTACAAAAAATATAAGTACTTCTCTGTCAGTTGGACACAAGCAATAAATGACTAAATATAGCACTTTTTCATTTCTTTAGTTTATAGTACTTAAGTTTATGGAAAAAATCAGATCATTTTTATAAATAAATTATTCATTTTTATAAAATAATGAATATTTATTAATTACATTTCATTTATAAAATGAATAATCAATGAAATTATTTATTCATTTTATAAAAATGAGTTGTTTCATTTTCAAAATTAGTTATATTGTTGTTTTTTGCATCGTTGCCAAAATGAAAATAACAACAGTGATACCACAGATTGCATACATGACAACAAATAAATGGAAAAAATGTTGCAACTTTGTACAAGGTTACTAGAATTAAAACTATCATCTTTGGTGTCTGGCATTTTACAGTGATTTCGTTAGAAAATATTTCACTCGTTTTACCTGCTTGGCAACATGTTTGAACTTTTCAGGAATTTTTTTTTTTTTTTTTTTTTTTTTTTAAACTTTTTTGCAGCCACTTTAGATTAGATATAGAAATATACAATAACTAGTAAACAGAAAAAAAAAATTTGGTAAATTTTTAGTACTCAATCTAACACTTTTAGTTAGGTATTTATTTTTTAGATAGTGGCAGCGATTTTTTGGCTTTAATCATTTCTTTTTCTTGTCATTTTATCGCATATTTCAATTTAGCAGTAGAATTTTAGTCATGCCATCTAATAACTAACTAACTAACTAAAAGCACTAGATTACATGCTGCATGATTACCACATTCTTATTTCAAATTTTCAGGGTTTAAATATGAGAATAAAGGAAATTGAAAGATTGGTTTTCCAAAATGTTTGCTATTTGAGAAGACTACAGTTTAAAGCAGCGATGGCAAACCTATGACATGCGAACTAATTTGGGTGATACGCAGCATCATGCATTTCCATAGCTATCGACAGAGACAATATGTTGCATAATAAAAAAAAAAAATTGTCTCTTGGAACAGCCTCTTCATTGTCTACAACTATGTACTGCACTTACCTCGGGTGCATTTGAGTGCGTTCTTGGCAGATGGCAGGCAGATGATTCCATATGCGACATAAAAGTCCAGAATCCAGAGATTCTTGTAGTACCAGAGTTAAGTGAGGGATTTTCCAAATTTTAACATGCCGAATTCAAAACTTTTGCCATGACAGGTATAAAGTCTCTTTGAAGTTCACGATAAATCACTTGAGTTGATAAAATGAAACTAACCTTATCGCTCTTAAAATTGACTCTTTTTTATCAATATCTGTAGATTTTAACATAGAAGAAGAAATATTAAATATAAGAAGAAATTGAGTGGCACTAAATCAAGGCTTTAGAACCCAAACAACCTCTTTAAAATAATTCAGAAAGCCACTTGTGATGACACAGTTGTCACAGAGACTTCTGAGCAAGTCCAGGACATTGCATGTTGTAATTTTGAGTGTTCTTGCTCTCTTTTGATTGATCTACATGCCTGTTTTATTATCTACCTCTCAAATTATTCATTTCAACTTTCTAATTTGTTTATTGATGTCTTTGACCTATTTTTAAAACCACTAAACTACTTTTTCAGAGTATCAGTAGTTCTCTGATCACAAAAATTAAAAAATATTAACTAAAAAAAAACATGGTCTTTGATTAAATATCAGGTGAAAACATTTTAGTGAAAATAACCAAAATCCATAAGTTAGTTTCCTTTGGGCCCTTGCACACATTCATAAAATTTGGTGAAACTAGCTGCATTCATTGATACGTAATTCAAATAACAGATTAACAAGACCCATTAAAGCACCCTGTAGTATAATATGATGTATTGTATGATTAATTTTTATCATTATTATTATTATTTTAGGAAATTTGCTTTCACAAATGAATTTTTCTTTCAGGTTTTAAAAACAGCAGAAAATTTGTATCATCTCTCATGGATAGCTCGACAACAGCGCTTGACACTGGACAGCCTCTTACTGTCACATTCTGATACAAATTTGGCAGCTTGTTGTCATAGATCAAATATCCTGGAGACTGCTAATTTTATTGACTCTTACAAACAACTTGGTGTACATGATTGTAGTTATTCTGAATTCCTTCAACAGTTTAGGGAAAACCCTAAAATTGTGGCTGCTTGCCTTAATCAAGGTGAAAAAATAGATTTAAATACCATGCATAATGTGGTAAATATAATAATGGCTGCAATATATGGAAATTGCATTTTACCTGAGGATGAAATACATGCTTTGATTCTGCTTAAAGAGCTTATGTCATTACAACTTGCAGTGAGTGATAATCCTAGGAGATTGCTTCGTCATGGTTCTTGTGCTTTTAGCCGAGTTTATAAAATATTTAATGAATGTCTTTTTAGTGCAAAAATTTTTCTTACAGCTGCCCTTCACGAGCCTATAATGCACTTGCTAATGGCTGATGATTTATTTTTAGACATAGATCCCAGCAAAGCAGCTGTTAGATTTCATCCTCAAGAAAGATTACGCCATTTTGGTAAGGAGGGAACACCAGAGTATTCTGCTTCTCTACAACGTTATCGCAATTGGACTATCAGTAAACTTGTTAATATTACCAATCGTTTCATCGAGGAAATACGCAACAATTTGTATTGTTTTCCACAAAGCCTTTCATGGCTTACACGCCAAATGTACAATATAATAATGAAAGCTAAAAGAGTTGAAGTTAGAGAAGTTGGAGCTATGTGTGCAGATCTTGTATTTGCTTTTTTCATCTGTCCAGCAATTGTTGATCCTGAATCTTATGGAATTACAGATATTCCAATTAGTTATATTGCACGTTTCAATTTGATGCAAGTCGCTCAGATTCTTCAGGTATTAGCCATGTCCAAATGGGAAGAAATAGACCCTAAACTTATGGATTTGTATGGGAAATTTGAGAAGGTAATAAGTTGTAGTTTAACATATTGTTATAATTCTTTTAGATACAAAATATATTTTGTATAGTGTAAATTATTTTTATAAATAATAGAATATCATTAAAAAAATCTTATGATTGGTTTTTCAAATTTTCTAATCTTTATATTTTGTAGTGTGCCCTGAACATGCTTGATGTTTGTTTGTTTATTTAAATACAGGATTGTATGTCATCATTACTGGATTTGATTTTGGAAGGTAGTGCAAGTGATTCTCCTGCTGACCTTGTGAATCAGTTTCAGGATCTTAATAGATCAGCAGTTCTTATAACAGAGTCTGAACTTATGTCTCTGGTATGTTTAATTTCTGAATGGTGGGAATATTGACTTAAAATTATTTAGAAGTTGCATGCATATATCTTTCAATTCTAAATTAAACTTTCTTGGTTTTTTTTTTTCTGTGAAAGAAATATTGAAATAATTTGTCTAAGAACTAGAGCATGAAAAGTATTTTAACTGCTGTTCTGTGTATCTGTACATTTTAGACACAGGTATTGTTAGATAACTGTGTAACAAAAATATGTACTTATTTAGATAGTTATTTTTGTTTCCAGCGGGAATTTAGCAGCACAAAGAAGAGGAATCCTTTGCTGTCCACAGTTGTAACATTGTTAAATTCAAATCAGTATTTTAACTCGGATTTTTTCCTCCATTTTTCAGTGGCTCGTCCATGCTATTCAGTTTATCCTTTCCTTTCTCTCTCTCTCTTTTTCTTTTATTTGGCATTGTATCTAATTTTTTGTCTCTTATGCTAATGTGATGAAATTGTGTGGCTTTGTGTTTTTGTCCAGTTACTCTTCAATGTTTTATTAACATTTTTGTAACCAAATATCAGTCAGAACTGCTCTAAAAAATATTCTGTTTTATTATTTCTTTCAGCACTAGAAGTCTCTTTTATAATATTATGAATCTCTCTCTCCTTTTTTTTTTTTTTTTTTTTTTTTTTTTTTTTTTTTTTTAAGGAAGAAAACTAGTGTTAAGCTTTCAACTTGATTTTGTGTTTTAGAATGCAATTCATTGCATTGAAAACTAGAAGTTTCTTTAACTTTTTCAGGGGCAATATAGCAAAGAGTTGTTTACATTGTGGTAAAATTTTGCATGACTTGTAATATACGAATCCTAAGAAAATAAAAAACTGAAGCTTAAAAAATTGTAGAGTGAAATTTTGAAGACTGGTGTATATGTATATCACTGCCCCAGTAAGGCACTTTTTACGTGTTTTTTAAATCTGTTTTTGTATATTTTTAATATGTATCTATAGAATTGGCTGCTTGAATGTGATTACTTAGGTTTTGATTGTACAAAAATTTTCTAAAAAATTTCTAAAATTCCTGTCAATAAAAAAAAATTTACACTTTTAGGCACTTTGGTGATGCCACCCAATTGAACTTGTAAAATCTATGAAAAAAGCTTTTGAAAGTAATATAAGTTCAATATTATTATTCTATAAAAATATTTAATAAATAAATACTGCAGGCATAAAATGTATCATTCTGTATCTGTAACAGAATAATGTTACAAGGAAATTTAACTCAGCTGAAAAAGAAAAAATTGTATTTATGAAGTTATTATATTTTTGCTTTAGATAATCTGTCAAAAAAAATTCCTCTTACTATGATTCCAAATCCTCAGAACTCCCCTCCTTGCACTCTTATTTCAATTATTGGGCCTCATAAGAGCCCCTTTTAATTTTTTTTATAAGTATAGGATGTAATATATAATTTGTTCAGAAAACGAAGTCATTAAATGATTTTATATCTGATACACCTCAAAGTCCTTTTTTCTATTTTCAGTGCTCTGAAGCTCTTTTGTAACTTTTCCATAAATAAAAGAGTAATATTTAATTTTGTTCACGGATCATATATAGTTTTGTGTTTTTTTACTAGAGGGGAATCATGACACACCTCAAAGCCCTTTTTTCTATTATTTGTCCTTAGGCCACACAGTAGGGAAAAGAATACAAGCTCGGTGGCCAGAATTGGCGTGCCTCAAATGGGTGCCAATTTTTATATATATATATCAGTCTTAAAAATCATTAACTTCATTATCATTACCTTATTACTTTTAATCATTAGTTTTGACCAAAATGCAATAAATATATAAATTTCAGCCTTTGTATTTCATATAATATTTGTATATTTTGAATCCCCCTCTCTATTACAATATATTAATCTTGAAACATGAGACCTTGAACAAGATACATTAATATATATTGAGCATTGATTAGGGTTATTGATAAGGCAAACTATTGAGCATTGATCGGGTACTGTTGCATCTAGTATCAATAAAAATAGTAAAAACTGAAGATCACAGTTTTTGGTGTAAGAAAACTAGTATTTTTAGGTGGTTGAAGCACTGACTAATTTCTGATATATTTAATACTAGCAGCTTCGCTGCCAGCCTTCATCTGGCTTTTAAATGTACCCAAAAAATGGCTGAAGGGAACACCAAACATTAAATTTAAAAACTGCATAGAATTTTACTCTGTAGAACAACTTCATAAAAAAAGTTATTATGTATAACAAAATTACAATGAAATAAGCAATATCCCTTAATACAAATATTAATTATCCTAATAAATAAATTAACCAACTTTCCTTTGCAAAATCTTAAGAACTCAAATGGTATAAAGGAGGTTAAGAACTTTGTTTCCTAAAAAAATCACTCAAAACTTTTCAATATCTTAAACACAGTGAAATGAGCAATAAGTAACATAAAAGAATGCAAAAAACAAAAAATTCTGAAACGCAAAGTATAACTAATGATATTTTATCTTATATTTTCAAGAGAAAAAAATTACAATGAAATAGGCTATATATATCCCTTAATAAAAATATTAATTATCCTAATAAAAAATTAACCAACTTTCCATTGAAGAAAAAAAAATCATGCAAAACTTTTCAATATCTTACAAACAGTGAAATAAGCAAAAAATAACATGAAAGCAACTCAAAACACATAAAATTCCATGCAGAATTTTACTCTGCAGAACAACTTTATCAAAAAAAAAAAAAAAAAAAAAAAAAAAATCAATAAAAATGTATTATATATATAAATGACAATGAAATATGCCAATTTCTTAAAAACAGTGACATAAGAAATATGATGAAAAATTGTTGCCAAACCCAAGAATGAAACTATTCAAAATGATGTGGTTTCATCAAAAATCTATCAACAACAATAAGACAGGAAAATTGTTGCCAAAATCACATTTTTAAAGATGTGAGATGCGAGAAGTGTACTCGGAAGCTTCATTTGAAAAAATTTTTAAAAATACAAAATATTATCATTTTTCCAAAATTCTTTTTATAAAAGCAGTCGCAAGGATGAAAGTTTAACGTGTCCAAAATTCAAAGAAAAATAAACTGTATATTTTTAAAAATAAACTTTTTTAGAAAAAATCCTGTTGAAAAGGTGTTAAGCTCCCTTTGTTAAATAAATTCGTATTGAATTGATTTATTGAAACGTGAAATTTATTTTAAGTTCGTAAAATAGCTAAGTGCCTATGTTTCATGACGATGTGGAAAATGGAGTGTGTAGAGTAAAATCTCACTTTCCTATAGCCCATTATGTCTCAAAATGATGGGATTTTGTCACAGAACATAAAATAACAAAAATTCGAATTCGAATTTCGAAAAAATCACCTCGAGGTGCACTGGCTCTTGTCTAGATGCACATATGTACCAAATTTCGTAGCCGTGTTTCTATTAGCTTACGCACAGCACGAACGAAAGACACACACACACACAGACAGGCTCTTTCTTTTGTTATATGTAGATACCACTGTCCTTCAGAGGGTTGAGTACTGGTCTCAGATGATAATTAATTTTGTATTAAATTTTGTAAAATTTGATGAGAAACGTACCGAGAAATTTAGAAGTTTATCGTGGTACACTTTTTACAGTTTGTGCCAAGAATAATTCACTTGGCAATACTCTTAATTTACAGCAACCTATTTACCTTTTCCTTTTTTCACTGTGTGCAAGTGGGGGAAAAAAGGTGGATCATTCATTCTTTCAAATAATTTTAACAAAATGCATGAACTACATTTGCCATTATTATTGATTACAACAAATTTCAAAATGTGTCAATATATAAATTCACGTATATCTTTGGAAATTTTGAATAAAAATCTCTGTAGGTATGCCTAGAAGTATATCTACTTTAAGATGATGGTAAACATTTAATAAGTTATAATTTACAAATTTTTTAAAAAAATTTACAAAATTACTAAAAAGTGCAAATTTAAAAAACAAATCAGAAAATAGCTGTGAATTTTACTTGGACTGAGCCTGAATTTAAAATTGTGGAAGATGCAATTAATTACCTTTAATAAAAAAAAAAGATATCAATAAATATATACCAAATTCAGTTAACATTGAGGAGCTAAAATTTGGAGAGCTAATTGTTTTTAAACTACTCATGCAATTTTTACAAAACTTGAAATATGAAAAAAAAAAATCGGTGTGTCCAGAAAAAGTCTGATTTTGAATCAAAGTATCTGCATTAGAACAATCCTATATATTAATCTAATACATATCCTAAGTTGTGCTTTCGAGACATGAAACACACAAGTTAAATTTATCAATTGGCCCAGTAAAATGAGAGATATAGAACTGTCTCCCCACCTTTTTTTTGTGCAAGGCATACTTGCATGAGGAATTCACTGTCACTGCAAAATATAAAAATTCCATATTATAAAGATGCTTTTGCATTTATCTCTGAAAAATCTACATATATTGTCAACTTCCTAAAACTGGTTATAACAAAAGCTACCAAAAATCGTCAAATTTGTATTCATTTCTTCATATTCAAAGTTCATATTTCAAATATTCATATTTCAAAGTTCTATATATGAATATATTTTTATATTCATATATAGAACTCCTCATTAAAATTATTTATTTTCTGAGATTTTAATTATCCATTCTCTGATACTTATAAAAAAATTCTCATGTTTTCTACCATCCCTGTTCATTCACAAACTGCTTTTGAAGTTTTTTTTTTTTTTTTTTTTTTTTTTTTTGTCTTTTAGAATAGTATAAAGCATGATTTTATTTGTTATTTAATAAATTTCCAATTATCATTCTAATTAAATTAAAGTAAGGCTTAAAAAACTAATATCTTGTGAAGGCATTTTAAATTTAAAATACCTAGTATCATCCAGGTTGAATTGAAAAACATAATTTTTTCTCCCCTGAATATTAGAAATCTATGTTTTGGATTATTTGTATGGTCTGTTGAGTAATATTATGTATCATTCATGTTCAGTACATCTGAGTTATAAAAAAGATTTTTAGCAAACTTTTTAATACCAGAATTATGGAAGTGGTCATTTGGACCACAAATAAAGTTAAATTTTTCATATTTTTAAAATTTTCTTTTTAAATGTACTTTTTGCTTTTTCCTAAATATATACCATGATGAAGAAGTAATTTATTTTTCTGTTTTGAAAGATTATTTATTAAATATAACTATATATATATATATATATACCTAGAATTACAGCTAGCAGTTATTGCCCTGTTTAATAGAAGGCTAATTTGGCTTGGTGTATCAGCATCTTAACTTTATTTGTGTGGGTTTTCTTTTTAATTTTATACCAGATCGTATCCAACAGCTGGTTGGAATGATAACATGTATTGAGATGGTGTTCCTGCTTGATTGCATCATCAGCTATGGCACGAACGAACCTTTGCCACCTTGTTCTCCAGATTTATTACTTTGTGATTATTCTTGTGGAGAGCTCTAAAGAGATATATGTCACCTTGTTCTCCAGATTTATTACTTTGTGATTATTCTGGTGGAGAGCTCTAAAGAGATATATGTCACCTTGTTCTCCAGATTTATTACTTTGTGATTATTCTTGTGGAGAGCTCTAAAGAGATATATGTATAGCAACATCTATCACACATTTAAGCTCTAGAACAACTTTAACATAACTGTCTAGGCCATTCTGTTAGGATGTCTTCTCCCATGCTTTTGAGAACTTGTGACCTCCTCATACACACATGGGCCTCAATTTCTTTAATTCTTTGAATTTAATTTTAAAAAAATGAGGAATAAAGGAACTAGTTATGTCAACCATGGAAAAAAAAAAAAAAAAAGATTTCTCTCTTTTGTTTAAGAATACGAAAGAGAAATCATGCTCTAGTAAGCATGAGAATAGCAGGTAGTGCATAAAATTAATTTTAATGATTTATATTCTAAAAGAGAAATTGTTGCCATACAGTTCTGTAAGGGAAAAATAAATGCATTTTTTGAGTATTTTTAACTCAAATTAACTAAATTAACTAAACATTAATTTAATAAACTAAACAATAACAGATTTTAGTTAAAAAATTCAAAAATTGCTAGATTTTTTCCCATTAACTCTTTGTTGCTCAGTGTTCCACTACATGGAACACCCAAATTGAATCGCTTCTGAAACCATTAAATTCAACCGTAAATGAAAATGCCTTTATAATATACTTCAAACTTCTCTTTTTAAATAGTAGATGGCAGCATATCACAAGGAGACCGAAAATTTTCATTTATGATGTATTATTAAAATCCACTTATTTTCTAGTAATTTTCTATATTTTTTGTGATGCAAAAAAATTTGTTTGAAAAAAAAAATCTATATAATTTTGATGGCTGTATTCTATATTATTTGTTGTATACTTTTTTACATTTTTCATACAAAAAGCATGCACAGATTCGTTAAATAAAACGGGGTGTTCCATTAGCGGGAACACTGCGTCTTTAACGATCTCGTGTTATTACGCATCAGAACATCTGTCTTAGGAGAAAACATCTGTTGTATACGTTATCTATTTACGTTGTTTTGGGAGAATAAATTCAAACAAAGCAGTCTTGAAGGGTGAGGAGTGGTTTGTGCTCTGAAAGCCCTAATATGGGCATCTTGAAATTTTTGTGAGTAGTTTTCAGGTAGGAATTTTATCAGTAGCTTGAGTCATCTTTACTTAGAAGAGCTCCGCGAATTATTTTGCTATCTCTGTTTAGTCTCATTCCCGATTATATACAATAATTGTATAGATTTTTTTTGTATATGTATATCTTATAGCTTATTCTTCTTTATTGTTAATATTAATTGCAGTTAATTTTATGTTATTAATTTTCCATAAATGGCAGGAAAACATCTTTTTCTCTTTTCTCTTTCTTTTTACTTGGAATTCTAAACATATTGTTGCATGGAACAGAAGGCGCACAAAACAAGTTTTTTGTTCAAAACCCGCAAAGTTGGTTTGTGTTTCTACCAGAAAGATGTGACATGCTTTGAAAATTTCCCGAAGCTATGAAATCGAAAAATTTGTAAATATTTTTGTATATAGGACTTGTGTATATACATATATTTATCTCATTTATCCATATATATTCAAGAAAGTTGTGTATATCCAGAAAACCATGTATACAGCTATAATACAGTGTTTTTCATTACTATACATAAGCTTCTACTCATTTCCGTGCTTCACTGCAATGCTCGCTTAGTCGCACTTTTAAGAGCTCTAGTGGCGCAGTGTTCCACCTCATGGAACACCCACAGAATTGAAACGGTAAGTGCAATTTTTATAAAATTTTATCTGTATACTCCTTTAGGCCTAGTTAGACTGCATACAACTTTTCTTTTTGAAATACCGACTTTAAAGTGTAGTGCACCACAAAGGGTTAACTAAGTTGCAGTCAAAATAACTACAAACTATAGTGAGAGGCAAACCAAAAATGCCATGATGCTAATGTTTAACCAGTATCCTCTTTTTATTATTAAAAATTATCTAGTGATATTAAAAAATAACAAAAAATTCATTTTCTGCATTGATTTAAAATCATGCCAATAAAAAATTAATGGTGAGAAATATTTTATAATTTTCTAGGTTTCATTTCTCAGGTCTGTCGAAGCTGGAACTTCAGATCCTGTACTAAAAAAGACGCTTAATTCAATGATTAATCATCTTCCTCATGTTAGTGTCCCTACTACTATGCAAAATGGAAACCTTGGCACTTGTTCATCATCTGTAAATTCAAATGACAATCAACCACAAACACCTTCATCTAAACGAAGTTTTCTTGGTAAAGGTAAGAAATGTACAAGATGTCTGAAAATTACTGAATATATTTCAAAATTCTTGCTCTTTCCCTTCCAAGAAAGAAGAAGAAAAACTGGGAGATATGTATAAAATATTGCACGCGCAATGAACTGGAAGTTGATCTGTCAGCACTATCGTTATCTTCAGGGCAGATGTTTTGATTTTATTCGGCTTATAATTCCTTACTAAATGTAGTATTTAATCTGGATGCACTCCGTCTTTGATATGATTTAAATCAAATTCCTCCATTATAAATATCACGAATACAAATCAAATAGTTTTCTGGTTGCAATTTTCTAATTTCGGCTACGCGTAAGGTATGCTTTACGCATGCGCACGTTGAAAGAAATGTTTAATAAAGTAAACAAATAAATATTAAGCTTCTTTTTTTTTGTAAATTTTGATACCCTTTAGATCATAATTGCTCATTATTTTATAAATTACGGTTTCATATTTTTAATTTTATAATTTCTGCGTGCCATCTTACCAGATATAAACTGATGATCTATAATCCGGAATCGCTGAAGTCCCGACGAGTCCGGATTAAAGACTTTTGACTGTATAACTTCAAAAGAAAATATCTGATGGAGTTATAGCTGGAAAGTAAGGTAACCATGGAATGGGACCACCATGATCAGTGCATATATTGGGAAAAGGCTGATTTGGGCAGTTATATACACTCATTGTTCAATGTCAAGGCAGACCATTTAATTGGAAAATGACATTATCTTGCCATTTGATCTAGGATACAGTGAAAATTTTTATCATATCCAAATAGATGTCACCATCAATACTGTTTTCACAGAAGAAAACTACTGGGCGTGTAAATTCATCCCTAAATATAACAAACAGTCCTGATAAAGTTTTAATTTTTTTTTTTTTTTAAATTTGCAGCAGTTTGGCATATTCACAGCAAATTCACATGTTGTCATCATTTGGAAGCATCTTTTGCACTATTTGAATTTATATATGTGAAGCTGTAATTGTTTGTACAAGATATTATGAACTGTTGGTACATATTGACATGCACAGTTTTTTGCTGGCATTACAAATGGCGTGGGCTTTAATGGAATCATACATGCACATGCTCAACCATCTCACTGTTCATGCAAGATCTGCGATGGCATAGCATGCTGCTAGTTTCTTTAAACTGTTTCATCCACTGCTAAACTGAAATCGTTCATGGGGAATTATATTCTATATGGTATTGTCTTTTTAACTTTAAACTTTACTTTCATAAGCCATTATTAACATGTATGTAGTCTTCTGCTTTATGGAGCACCGTGATTATTGACTGCCATCATCTCATGTAACTCCTCTCTGCGCAAATGATTCTCTGCACTATGAATTTCGGGACAGGAATAATCTAGAAAACAAAATTACATTATGTTTTTAATATTTAAAGTAGACATAGGAAATACTTAGTACTTGAGAAGCTTGTATAGATGTCATGACTACCAATTACAGTTGATTCATACAGTTAATCATTCTGCATGTGGAGTTATTGTGCCAGTTTCTGGACAAAAAAATGCTGCAGAACAAAACTTTACAATGTGTTTGTAATACTTGAAATCGAAAAACAACAGCTAGTGCTGATACTTTTTTATATAATTTTGAAATGTTTTGAATAATTTTTAGACATCCCATATAATTTATATAGAATTGTTTAATTTTTTAAACATTTATTTTTTTGAACTCATAAAGTTTATAAAATAAATAATATATTGTTTGTCGTACTTTGCAGTTAGCAGGAAAAGTTCAAAGCTGCCGAGTAGCATGTTGATGAATTCGGATAATCATGTGGATGAAATGAATGGCATACAAGAAATGGATTCTTCTGCAGCAGCTAAAACACAGTTAGAAGATGTGTTAGTGGTACCAATTCTTGGTATTGACTTTGGATTGCCCTGGTTTATTGAATGAGGATAAGGTAATTTTTTTAAAAATATCAATGATACATGAATGGAACATGATTTTCTAAATTTTATGAACTTGGGGAATGTATATACCTCAATTCCTGAAAGTTCATTCTGTATAATGCACATTGAAATCATAATTTTAAAATATAATGTGCATTAAAATCATAATTTTAAAAAAGTGCTTAAATTCCAAATGCCTTGATAGTAACAAATATAGGTACAGAAAATGTGGCTACATAATATATTCCATTTATTAGATCGGAACATCATTTAAATTTACTGTTATTTTTTTGTTTATCCACACCTTTAGCAGAAAAAGTATTGATGAGATTGTTACCAAAAGGTGCCAAAGGGTTGTTGCAAAAGGTTGCCTTCATGTTGCCAAAAGTTATTTATGTGGCAACAACCCATGATGTTGCAAAGAAGTATTTGTCGCAAACCAAGAGTATGTATGTTTAGCAAACCAAGCACACGTATGTTTGAGTACATGGTAGATTTGCACTTTTGAAATTCAAAGGCCATTTTTTTATTAGTAGTTCTTTTTATATTATATGAGTATGTTTGTCTTTGTCACAAAAAATTGTTATGGGACTGTGAAGTTTGCAGTTGATGAAAAAGCATTGCGTTTTTTTCAGAAATGTGACATTTTACCCAGCAATAGAGGTGGCAAAAATTCACATCTTTGAAACTTTGCTTCTTAAATGATCAAATTTTATGGAAATGCAATGTAAAAAATTGCAAGCAGAGTAGTAAAATGTGAATAAGAAATTGGGTTCAATCTTGTTAACAGCTGTTCACTTTCGGAAATGTGCATGTTTTCTAGTGAAAATGAAGAATGCAAAAAAAAAAGGGGGGCAGCATTTGATGCGTTATGGAAAGAGTTATAAAGTCAAAGGAAAAGTTTCCAGTCAGTGAGTCACCAGTGAGTTTGAAGTGGTCCTCAAGATCACTGACAAGCTACAGACTTTTTTGTGGGGTTGCGCATAATCAGTTATCAAATTTATAGGGTTAAATTAATATATAAATCCAAACTTCTGAGAGGGGTATATTCTCAAAGGTGAATCTGGATAGTAATGGAAGGTCAGAAACTTCTTTTGTTATGTGCAAGTGTGTCAAGTACATAAGAAATGAAAGAGCAAAACTTTAATGAAGAATATTGTTTTATTCATTAAAATGTAGCAGTTGCAATGTTAGGAAAGTCGAGAGAAGGTGTTTGAAGTTTTTCCATTAACTGTATTACAAACTTAGCATGGGCACTGCATGGAATCATGGATGTTTTGACATATCCCAAGTATCTGTCAAGTAGCTACAATGATACATATGACAAGATTCTTCTCACTATCCAGAGGTGTAATGTTATGCAATATAAGAGTGTGCTGTAACCCTCCTGGCCATTAAAAATCGGGTTCATGGTTAATGCAGCATCATATACCAGGTTTTTCATATGACACACAAAAAAAAAAAAAAAAAAAAAAAAATCCAGGCAACATAAGTCTGGCAATCATTGAGGCCATTCAATTGGATCACCATGCCATTGTTTCCACATATCACATTTAGGTGCTCCTGAATGAGGCAACTGAAATGGGATAGGGCCCTACCATGCTGGAACCACATAACCATAGTGTAGTGATAGCTGGATCTGCTGATCATTCAGCAGTTCGGACAAGATATCCTTGAAAATCTGTTATACCATTCGTCTAAATGAAATGGAATAGATATGGACCTATTAAGTGGACCTCCACAATGCCAGACTAAGCATTGACAGCAAATTGGTGTTGTGCTTAATGCATTTGTGTAGCATTAGAGTTTCTTTGCCATCCATACATGTGAATTATGTGCATTGTAATAACCTTCCTTAGTGAAGGGTGTCTGCAACACTCTTGTACATATACCATTGAGCAAAAGTAGCAGTGTGTGGATATTCATCAAGCTGCAGTAGTTGTGCATACTGTTCATGGTAAGTGCACAGTTGTTTAAAGTTTAGGATACTCCAGATGATGGTTTGGGGAAGACTGAAGCAAGTAACAGTTGCTCATGTATTGGCGTGTAGAGGATCTTTTATTGGCAGAGCAATATCTCTTTGATATTAGGAGTCCATGCCTTTTATTTTTGTCATGCCACATCTCTTAAAAGTACCCATTTCACATAATTGTTGATACAACCATGCAAATGTGTGCTGTTTTGGAATAATCCTCATCGGGTAGTATTCCCAGTAAGTCCATAGTATCTTGGCTTGTCTGTTACAGTCAGGACTTCATATTCTCTATATGTATCTGCTAACTCTGCATTTGTGAAATCTTCCAACCTACTATCTCTGCAGATGGTTGTTTAGCAACAGTTTTCCTGCATAGATAATTTATAGGTTTCCCTACAATTAACTATATTGCATTACATTTACATTTCCACCCGTGCATTACTGTCTGAGCCTGATTAGTGTTTTGAATAAAATAACCCTTCCAAAAGATTTTATGTGCAGTAGTGAATCACCCTGTGCATGCACACGCATGTATGCTAATGGAAAATGAAAGCTTGACAAGAAGGAGTTGTACTAAATAAACAGAATTAGGAATGTATGTTTGTATATCTGAAAGATGATGTTCATTCAGATTTCAAACTAAAGGAATATCTGTAGCGGCCATATCACTAACTCCAAATTACTGCCATCTGCGAATTGGGTAGTCAAATCTGGGCGAGTCCATTGTACCTAATGAGCAAAGCTTGTTTTATGACACTAAAGAGGCACTTGGGTGGGGTCAAGGTAGAGCTCATTTAAAGGCAGAGCGGAAATCTGTTGTGTTCTCACATAAGAGGCCCTTCTGTCTTGGTGCCAGTGATGGCTGTATATTGCTTAGAAGGAGGCTAGATGAGCACTTGGAACCAAGCTGTCTGTGGCATAGATACATTGGACCAGGAGTTATAGTCTGAGGATCAATTTCCTACGGTAGCAAGAGCACTCTCATCATTATCCTTTACAACTTGATAGCAAATTTGAACGTCAGACAGGTGATTGCACCAGTTGTGCTACCATTCTTGAGCAGTATTCTAGGGAGTATTTTCTAATAGGCTAATGCTGCTGCTATCATCATATCTCCATACTGCTGCTATCATCCAACAGGCTCTACTGTGTGCCAACATGTTGCTTTAGCCTGCAAGATTACCCACTCTTTCTCCCATCACGTACATATAGGACATGATTGGATGACAAATCCAGTATCATCCACCAGAATGAACCATTGCTGATTTGACTGGCTGAGTGTAATAGGCATAGAACTCAATCTTAAAAAATGATGCGGCATCTATACAGTAGTCCATGTGCATTTGCATGCTTGTAATCAACATCGTGGTAACTACAGGATTTATAAAAATACTGCTATTTCACATTTGAAATGGCTCTTCTCGCACATACTTTAACCCATGACCTTAAAACATTAATCAAATAACTACATTACCTAAACAAATGGTTTGCCTACATTTCAGTCTTCTAAAAACTGATTTCTTCTTGGGGTTGGGATTTCATTTTCCATCAGTGTATAATTGAAATGTTAAATTATTGGTTCAGTGGCTTATCTCTTAAGTAAGGAGAACTTTATGTAATGAATATTATAACTACAGTAAATAAAAAATTATTTTAGCTAAGATTTCTTTCATTTGAAAATTTAATACTTCCTAGTTAAGGTGGCTACAGCACCTAACAAAATTGACAGACAGAATCGCCCAGTCTGTAACATGAAAGCTTAAAATGTGTCTAAAGATTTATATAATAATTAATTTAACAAAAAAGTACCAAAAATTTACAGCAGGATTTATATGTAGAATGTTAATTCAGAAATAGGTTTCGCATTGTTTCCCCATAATTCTTCTGGCAATATCTTATAGCTTATAACTGTAATATATTGAATAATGATACAAACAAAGGTAAATTTCTGTTGTCTTTGGTTTCTAATATTATTTGTATGTCTCTCTCATTTCTTTTGTGTATAATTAAATAGAAATTTAAAAAGAGTTTTATGTATGATATATGAAAGGATTCACTTGAGTTGATAAATCTTATTACTGCAATGGTATGTACTAGCAGTAATTGCCATTAAACATGAACAATGTATTTTTCTATATTAATATGTTTATCCAACTGGAATGGAAACATGCCAATGTAAAATTTTAGATGAGGCAAAAAAGCAACTTTAGTTTGGAGTAGATTTTGAATAAATTCTATTGAATCAAAAGCAATCAGACTGTAATATGACCTTATTCTTCAGCAGATAAAAAAAAATTAACATATAGATGCATGAATGCATATATATTCTTTTAAGAACTCTTTAAACAGAAATAGGAAAAATAATGCAGTAATTACAATAAATAAATAAAAAACAAAAATAATTCAACTGTATATATGTAGAGAGAGAATAAACCCAAAAATTATAAAATATGGCAGACCTTTTAACATACATAAATCAACTGTAAAAATGTACTACATTTTGATTAAAGCATCCTGTCAAAGCAGAGAAGAAAATATTTAAAAAAATAAATTTCTGTCATTCAGAACCATTATGATAAATGTAAAAACAAATGTGTAAACATTAGAAAAAGTAATAATTAATTATAAATGACTAATTAAGAATTAATTACAAGGAAAATTACAGTTGTGTGAAAAGTCAGTATCACACAGTAATAAACCAATTAAATACACAAACTTTCTACAACTTAAATCCATACAAAAATTGAAAGTAGAAACACAATAATAGACATAAAGTGAGAAATAAACATAAATAATGGACAATGAAATTATACATGTGTCTTATCAGGGAAATATATGTGCGATTTCATTAGTTGTATTTCTTATTTTACAAATGTGCTCATGAAAAAATTAGTTTAATAATAATTTTATAAACGTTCACAAATATTTGCAATCAAGATTGCAAGCCCACCCTTAACAAATTTAGAATGATTAGAGCAAAATCGTAAAATTCTATCCATTGTTATAATAAGCTTAGATAAGTGTAGAAATATAGCAAATGAACATAATTAATGATTAAACTGCAACTATACATGAAAAAAACGAATTTTTAAAGAATTGTCACATATACTGTGGATGAAGGAAATTCATTGTGTTAAATACAAGTACATTACATTTACCAATGATATATTTTTATTATAATTTTTTTTTCATACTTTCTTAATATCTGATAACTTATTCCTAAAATGCCTTTTTGAGAGGTTGTTGAGATAAGGAGTACCAGGGCCTTTGAATTCCATCTGCCCGGGGCCCTTAATTAAAACTTGGATGGAGTTCAAGCACATAGCAATATCATGTGCTTTGTTTAAATTAGATAATTTAATCCAATCCCTTCACATTGTGTTCCTGGATTCTTTCCCTTACAGTATGCTGCTTTAGCTTAGGTACATTTCACAATACCTATTTGAGAAGAAAATTAAAAAGAAAATTAATTGTTTGATTATATAACAATATCATTGAAAAGCAGTGTGAAATTAATATATGTATAAACTATTATTTTGGATAATTCAATAGATTTTACCTTAATTTTTAGGTATTGGCCATAGAATCTCAGAAAAAAAAACAGTCTCTTGAAAATGGTAGCTTGTTGGGAGAAGAGGCTGATACAATGAGTGTTGGGCCTGAAATTATTGAGAAAAGGACTAGATTTTCTCTTTCTCAAGATCAAGAATCTGTTGGTAATTTAGTTATGGATATAATGCATGTTATTTCAACATTCTATGTAGCTAAGTACTTTATATCTTTCAGCTCTCTCTCTTATTTTGTTGTCCTAATAAAATTATCATAAAACAATTTTTATTTATGTTATGCTGAAAATTAACTAGATTTATGTGTTCAAACTGCTATTAGCAACCTAATTTCTGATGCCTGAGCTTATATTAAGTTAAACTTGGCTTTATGTCTGTATTCTGTAGTTGCTTTCTGTATCAGATGCTTCCAATTACATTTGAAATCAAAATTTATCAGCTTATTAATTTTAATATCTTATTAAAATTTAATCTTAAAAATTAATTTTAATATCTTAATTTTTTATTTTTTCGTTTACCTTTCAGTTGCCAGTACTTATGTTAAGTGTTCTTGATGAAATAAATATCAGTATTATAGGACTTATAAAATTATAAAATAGACCTCTAAACATAATATCTTCTTTCAATTATTTCCATTAATGCCATTACATGTACTTGTAATCTAGACTAGTCTTAAATATATTTTCAAAATTCCTAAACATTTCAATGCATTAAATGTATCCTCTTATGCTTAGCACAAAATATTTTTATCCCTTCTTTAATCAGAATGTAATTTTACCAAAATGAAACTGAGCAAGCGTATATTAAATAACAATTATATGAAGATTGATTGTAATTGGGGTTACACTCTCATTTTTTTAATATCTATGGTGTATCTGTAGTGTAGGTATTTTGCCCAATCAATGGTGTTATTTTAATTTGAAATTCATAGGTATTATATATGAATTTAGAGCATACACAGTTTTGAAATTGAAAACTAAAACATTATTGATTTTTCCTGTATTTTATTTTTCTGTTTACTGTTATTTTCTTCCTATATTCCTTCTTCTACCTTAACATGGCAGAAGGTGCGCACCCAACACTGACGTTGGAGATCGTGCGAGGTGACTGCGTCACCCCAATCGGTTTCATTAGGAAAATGTGGTATAAATTTTATAGAAACCATTTGATTGTAAAGAATAATTGCAATATTTCATTAAGAAACTATACTTCTTTACTTAAGAAAACTTATTTCAATATTTAAGAAAAAATTCCATTCAAAATAATTACATACCTAATCAGGGATCAGAAGCTAACATATACTTGTTTCAAACATAGGAAGAATGAATTTTACCTGAAAAATTATCACATATTTTGCAAGAAATTGCTGTTTTATTGTCTTTGGACCTTGGAGCCTTTGTCGAGTTTTGGTTTCTTTGATAGGCTTTCTTCTAATCCACTAGAACTCTTATCATTGATGCTTTTACAAAGCACTTTAGGAAGCATTGGCATGTTTTTTGTTATCTCTATTTAAGGCTGTATAGGAGATACAGCCAAATTTTTTAGGCATTTTCTCCTATTTTGATTTTGTAAGGGAGGCGTTCTTTCTTGAGAATAAAGCAACTTGGGCATTTATTGTAGCTACGTTCAAACAGTAAAAAAAGACTATCAGCCATACGTTGGTGTTTTGAGCTGTCGAATATAATGATGACATTTCATCAACTTTCCCTACACCACCTTTTGCATTATAAAAAAGAATTATTTCTGGTTTCTTTGTATGATCACTTTCATCAATGGCATCATCGCAATGCATTTTAGATAACAAAACTACACATTTTGATTTTTTAGGCACATACGCTACTAGTGTCACATTCTTTTGGAACCCAAATATAGAAGAATAAACATTCCTAGTTTTTGTTTGGACGAACTTGGTGGGAATTTCAGCCTTGCTTCTCTTCAGGGTTGGCTCCAATAGTTAGCTTCTTTTATAAAAGTTCTTTTGCTAGAGGATAACTCGTATACCAATTATCCATTATTACGTTTCTGCCTAATCCAAACAAAGGAGTGCACAGGCGTTTTGTAATTTCAAATGGTAAATTTTCAACATTAAAGGGACCTTCCGGCTGTTTTCCTGCGTATATCTCCATGTTATAGCTGTAGAAAGATCTTGAATCTACTAAGGCAAATATTTTGATTCCATACTTCGCTGGTTTGTTGGGTATATACTGATGAAAGAAACACCGCCCTCGAAATTTCTCTAATTTTTCGTCGATAATAACATATTTACCAATAATGTATATCTTTAGGCAATTTTCATTGAAATCGGCAAAAAATTCTCTCGCAGCCGCCAGTTGGTCCAATTTTTTCCGAGCTTCACAATTGGTCACATTGTCTAGCCGTAGACACCTGAGAAGAAAATTAAATCTTTTATATAACATTATGTTCCATAAAATTTCAATGCCTGATCCATCAGTAGCCCACAAATCTTGCGTATTTGTATGTGACGATTTATGCAAGCCGCATGGATATAAAAGCCCAAAAAGTGCTGTAATTTCCACATCATTTGTCATTTTGGCATCCCGATCTCTGGTGTTATTTACCGATATTTTTTCAATATAAATATATGTACACTCTACAATGGATCGTATCATTTTAGCAGTGAAAAACAATTCATAGCTTTCTAGAGGCTCCGTTATATTGTGCACAGTTCCCTTTTAATCCTGGTAAATGAGTTATTATAATTTGAGAAGACGTTTTCACTTTTTGATTTTCCTTTCTGCCAAACTCTTATTTTTGCTAATAAAAATACATTTTACTAAATCATAATTTCTGTCGTCTTCATCATTCTGCTCAAATTCACTTTCGCTGTCATGAGAATATATTTCTTCATCAGATTCATGTTCACTATCTTGATCAATTTCTTTTTCAGAAGACTCAACTTTATCTAATAGAATTTTTAAACGTTCCATCTCTTTTTCATATTCGGTAAATTTATATTGGTAAGCCATTATTTATCAAACCAACAACGGAAACACTCGAGAGCACGAAGCTAAACTGCTACTAATGAAAAAATTTCAAAGCAGTAATGGTCGCACGGGGTGACTGAGTCACCCCATTCCCTCATGGATTCCAAGAAATTATTGCTTCTCTTGCAGAAAAGAAAAACAAGCAAAAATAACTATACACATTCCAAGGGGAGTGTCAAACAGGAGGATACTAGAAGGATGATTCATTAAAATGAAATATTTCAGGTTAGGATTGTTGATTTTTGACGCATGGGGTGACTCTGTGCCTCGTGTGACCTCTCCCGGGTTAAGAAAGAGGGAACTTTGCATTCAATTTTTTTTTCAGTGAATTCTTAAATCTGTATCAACATCATCAGATTTTACTTTTAATTAACCGTATGTTTTTTTCTGCCTTTCAGTAACTTGCTTTGCTTTCTGTTGTTATAAATTTCTAATTTTAATTTCTAGGAACTAGTGATAACTTGGAAGCTATTTCTGAAGCTGCATCTAATCATTCAGTAGCATCTTCGCTTGATTTGGAAAATGAAAATGAAAATGATAATCTTTCTGATATGGTTTCTGCAAACGTCAGGTAAGACTACTTAGAATGATCTTAATTATTTCAAATTGCTAAAAGTAACCTTCTATTACAAACATTTTCATTTTACTATTTTCCTTGCATTAAAAAACAGATTGCTGCAAGTAACTTTCTGCTGTTAGCTAGCATAATTTTTTGTCTTGTTCTGTCTCTCTTTTTGTACCCCTAAAGATTGATAGAAATCCCTTTTTCTGCAATTTTCATTACATTGTAAACAGTATATAGCAGACATGGCCAAACTGCGGTTCGCGAGCTACTTGCGATTCTTTGCCATCTGAAATGTGACTTATTTTGAATAAATATGGTTTAATTTTCAATACAAATAGAATTTGAAATGAAAATCACAGAGTTAATTAATTGTTAACTTAATTTCTGATATTATGTATGTAAAAATTTGATAGATTTCAAGCTGTCCGCTGCTGGCTTATCATCAGAGCAACAAATACATAAAATTAGAAATAATTCCATTTCTGGTAATTACTATTTCAGTTATGTTACTTTTTGAACAGGTATTGGTCATCAGAATATACTATTACGAAGTTAATTTAAAACGCAATGCTAATATATTGATTCAGATATTCTCCCTAATATTTTTTCTCTCAAGTTAGTTTTACTTCAGGTAGTATCTAGCTTTACATCAGGTAGTATCTACTTGCATTCCTGTGTGGTCCCACTTTTCACAACAGTTGTGATTCACCTGTAAGATTTGCTATTTGTTGTACTGCTTTTATTCAGTCCTTGAATGGCATGAGTAACTGCTCAAGAAACCTGTTTCACTTTGCAATTCATATAGAGCTCTTTTTATCTGTAGAAGAATTTTACGGGGATTTTATTTTTGATGGAGTGAACCTTCAGCCTTATACTTGGTTGGAAGACTTGTCTCAATTTTTTTGCAGATCTCTTTATATATATCTCTTTCCTATCCCTAAGCAAGTCAGACATTTTTATGCAATTGCTTCACAGATTTCACAACCATTCACATTACAGTCAAAAGTCTTTAATCCGGACTCATTGGGACTTTGGCGATTCCGGATTATCGTTTTTTCCGGATTATAGATCATCAGTTTAAATCTGGTAAGATGGCATGCAGAAATTATAAAATTAAAAATATGAAACCGTAATTTATGAAACGAAGAGCAATTATGATCTAAAGGGTATCAAAATTTACAAATAAAAGCTTAATATTTATTTGTTTACTTTATTAAACATTTCTTTTAACGTGCGCATGCATAAAGCATACATTACGCATAGTCGAAATTAGAAAATTGCAACCAGAAAACTATTTAATGTGTATTCATGATATTTATAATGACGAGGAATTTGATTTAAATCATATCAAAGACGGAGTACATCGAGATGAAATACTACATTTAGTAAGGAGTTATAAGCCGAATAAAATAAAAACATCTGCCCTGCACGCCTATTCTATGGTCACTGGATCTGTCTACAACTTAAGCGAACAATATTGACTCAAAAAAACCGGTATAGACAGCCGTCACAACTTATCGGAGAAAGCCATTCTGTGGTCCTCAGTTGGTGGGCGGGTGGGTCCATTTGACTTTACTGAAAGGGGACAAGGCTTCAAGGAGCTTTAGACCAATCGCAGTACAGACGAGTGACGAAATTTATAGTGCGCGCTGGCTGAAGTTCTAGGAATATTCTCCCATTATTTCACTAACTCACACGCTGTATTTGTAATTTGAAAAAAAAATTGGCACAAAACAGTATTATGACCAACATGCTGCAGAATATGCTGCTGTCTTATGTGAAGGAAAATCCCGTTTTTTTGGGGAAAGTTAACGCAGGAATTTAGAGCTAAGAAATAAAGAGTGATATGGGATACCACGAAAGCAATGTGGTAAATAGATAAGAGTAGATGAATTAAGCTTAGTTCAAATCCTTTTAGAAATAAACAATTTTAATCATTTAAATTTATAAATGATTAATTTGCATTACCGTCTAATAGCAAACTAAGTTTCCCCCTCCCCATGCTACATTAAACTGTTTCCCGCCACTTTATTTTACAGTTACTATTGGAAAATATCTCTTTAAATAAGAAATTATTTCTTTCTTAATATTTCTTCCCTTTTTTTATTTATTTTCTATGAAAATTATTTCTTTCAGGAAAAGAAATAAAATTCATCACTATGGCTGATTGCTGCTGCATTCAACTATCACACACGCATCAAAATGCTTTATTTTAAATAATTTATTCTATAATTAACATGATAGAAAATATTTTTTCAATATAAAAATATATAACCAAAATTAAACTAATCTATCCTGTATGTGTGATTAATTCGTTTTGCAATTTTTTGTCACACAATTACTAATACCTTTTTTTTAATATTACATTGGTGTTATTTTAATTTTATATATATATAAGAACTGCTTGCTCAGTTTAAAATTCTTCCTTCTCAAAAGATTTTATTCTGTGAAAATATTAAAAGATAGTTAATATTTCACAATGCAGGTACTAAAGTAAAAATAATCAGTGTAGGTCTCCTGCAGTTGAAGTCCTTGTCAAACCAGCATTTCGACACATTTTAAATAGAAAACTAATAATAATCAACGTAAAAATGAGAATGCTATAAACAGTAATTTTTTTTTTTATTTTTTTTTTTTTAAAGTTTGCAAAGAAACAATGATTTTTGAATACTATAATAGGTTACAAAAGTACTATTCCATGAAGAAAACCCCTCAGTCTTATAGCATTATTACTTTATAGCATAATGCAATAATAATTCTACTAACAAGCCCACCAGCCGTCGAGCGGTAGAGTCGCTGAACGCAGGTAGTTTGGTCCGAGGTTCGAATCCCGCGAACGAGCTGGCCGGCGTTTTCGTGGCTTTCCCCATGTGTAACGTGTATAGGAGCCAGTTTCCCTTAGAAAGTCCTCACTTAGGAACCAGTTTTAAACATAATAAAATTTATACACACACACACACACACACCCCAAAAAAAAAAAAAAATCTGAAAGTCTTCAGATTTTATATTACTAAATATTATATTTATATTACTTCAGATTTTATATTAAGGTCCATTTTTTTTAACTTTTTGCGTGTTACCTTTATTTATTAAATATCATGTTTTTTCGCACTTAAACCATAAAATTCAATTCAACAGCAATATCATATATTTTAAAAAAGCATATCTTTAGAATTTCCAATACATAGTCTCGCGCGCTAGAGATGAAAATGCTTTTTTTTTTTCCTCTTTTTTTTTTTTTTCCCCGTACAATGTTGGCATTGCTCGCTTTGAAATCGTTGGGTTTCTTAATCAAAAACTCATAAATGCTTTACAAAATATGAAATAGATAATAAAACAAATTCCCAGTTCCAAATATGGCCTCCAGATGCCTACATTAGGATGGAGGATTATGTTATTCAGCATTTCATGGCTCTAGGTACCGTTGTTTATCACAGTGCGAGAAACATTCATACATTCTGGCAGATTCCTCATTATTTTAATTTCTTTAAATATAATAGAGTGCGATAATACTTGGTGGCACGATTTGAAAAGTGAAGCGCCACAAAATGGCAAAACGAATTAATAGGCCCTCTGTCTAAAACGTATTATTAAAAGTATCACACTAGTAGTAGTACAGCTACTGAAAAAAATAAAGCTATTTATAGTTTTATAATTTTTTTATTTTTATTTTTATTTTACAGTAGTGTGAATTTCGCGTAATGAACGACATTCCTTTTTGTGGTCACAGTATTATTCGTAAAGGTATTCAACTGTTAGATTTTAAAGTAAACGTAATTCTTGCTGTACAAGAAGCTTATCGGATGTCTATATTTGTTATTAAATGAAGAAGGTTTGGTGTCTTGATAAACTTATTATCTTCTACCTTTTTAAAGCATACAATTAAAATTTATATCTATAATTTCAGGAACAGCATAACCTTTCTTTCAGTAGAAATTGCGTTCTTGTTTCTGAATGTGGCTGCAAATACTTTCTCGGTTCATCGCAAATTAAAAAATAACTATAAATTTTGACAATCTGAAATACGCAATGAAAACATCTTTTGGCAGAGCAAAAGCATCAACATATTTTCTATAAATTCGCCACCGATTCAGAGATCTACGACCGTATTCTTTGTTTAAATATGAAAAAATCAGCGGCAAAAACACATACAAAGCCATTGTCTACTTAGTACGTCAACTGCACAACCCTGATTGACGACGCGGCAACACTTTTTCACGCGCTTTCGACAGTTTCCGTACTCAGAGAATATAGGATGTCGGGCAGAACTGTTTTTTACTAGCAGCGACATCTGGCGGCCCACAACTTGCTGTCGACTCTCGTAGCGTAGAATAACCGTCCTGAAGATAAGGATAGTGCTGACAGATCAACTTCCAGTTCATTGCGCGCTGCAACGTCCCCCCCCAAGAGCAGCGTGAAATTTATAAACAGATTTCGGAATGGTTAGAGAAACAAAGGATCCATTTTTTGCAGCAATTCCACTTTTTATTTTCTTCCTAACCTCTGCCTACAGACTCGCCGACCTGCACCTCTCAAATATGTGTTGAGTGTTTTAACCATTGTGCCATGAAGGCATGCAGAAAGAGAAAATCCCTTATAGACTGATCTTTTATTTTCTAAAGTATTCTCTGCCTATATACTCCATTTGATATTTATTTTCTGGACACAGGTTAGGTAACCCAGTGAAAAAATGCACTATATAACTGTTATGTTGACAATAATTTAAACTTTCTTCTGAGTTATTTTACATAGAAATTCAAGATGAGACAGTAAGTCATTTAACCTGCTTTATGGGTCCAACATTTAGAATATGGTGGATCTGTACATCTATTTGGCAAGAGCTTAGGATCTAAACAAGTGTGCAGACATCTGCCATGTTACAAAAGCTACTATGTCAAACATCTGTGCATGTCCATTAATGTATGAAGAGTTATGCATTCATGTTTTATCTGTATTTGTGAAGTAAATTCATAATAACAAGTATGTTTTCTTTCTGTAACATTACTTTTGAATTGCCATATAGTTCAATAACAGCTAGGTTGAAGAGTTCGGCTGGTAGGCAGATGGAATATGTGCTCGATATAGCATTTATATAGAATGGCATGAACTACTAGATTTTTTAGCAATAGGTAATGTATGCCAGAATTATCATAATGATTCAAGAAGTGCTTTCAAGAATTTTCAGTGATGTGCAAGAACTTTGTTATCTGTGTCCAAAATTATTAGGATAATTCCAGAGATAGTTTCAGGAATTTTTTAGTGCTACTCTTGAACTTCGTTATCTATGTCCAAAATTATCAGGATGATTCGAGAGATAATTTCAAGAATTTTCAATGAAGCACCTGAACCTCCTTTTCTACGTCCAAAATTATCGGGACGACTCGAGATATACTTTTGAGAATTTTCATGATGCACAGTGTACGAATCACTAAAAAATTCTGGCAGATTCTGTTGGATTTCATACTGAAATACTGTATCAGTATTTCAGTATGAAGAAGTAGTATCAGAGAGATTGATCAAAGAAGTAGTATCAGAGATATTGATTAGTAATCAGAGATATTGATTATTCAAACACCACTGAAATTGCAATTATATTTTATTTTGGAGGGGGAATTCTTCTATACTGGACATCAGTAAAAGAAGTTATTCCAAAATTTTAGGAAAAATTGTTTAACTCTTTCTTAGGTTAAGATCCAAAGATATGAATGATCTCAGCATGTTGGTCTTTATATTATTAATTGTATGGAGAAATAGATTTATTTTTTAACCAAAAGCCTAAACAAGTTAATAGCTTATTCTTAAATCAGTATTCCTTCTCGAATAACAGTTTCTCAGCAGTGCACGGGGACGTGTATCATTTAATTTATCCTTTCTAAAAGGACTGCTCATGAGTTAAAGAAAACACTTAATTTCTTTTAAATAATAATTTGTAATTTACTCAAATAGAATTTTTTATGTAATTGAATGAATATGTATCCAATTTATTTTACTTCTACCAAAGTAAAACAACAATAATAATAAACAGGCAGGTATAGAGAAAATCAGAAGAAAATATATGGTTTCTCTACTTGAAGAAAAAATGCTTAGTTGCCCAGTACAAGAGTCGCAAATTTTTATTTTCTTGCGACTCAATATAATGAACACAAAACAGTAGATATATGATGTATTTATTCATATTTATATGTAATCATGTTAAGAACATATTCATTAATTTACTTCAAAAGTTTCTTTATATTCAAAACCTGTCTTATTGTTTTTAAAACTCTCTCTCAGTGTTCTGAACATTCATAAAAATCTATCATGCGGCTCCCAACGTTTTGAAGTTTGGCCATCCCTGATATATAGTAATGCAATAAAAAATGTAAAAAGTCATGAGATTTTTTTTTATATTTGTTTTTAATTTTAAAAAAGAAGCAGTAAATTTTAAAAAAATCTGATGTGAAATTAATGTTATGTAAATATTAATTTATTCAATATTTTTTCATCATAATACTTGCAGTATTGAGAATAAATTGTCTGTCTCAAGTGTATATGATGTCGTTATTTAGTTCAATTTTCAGTAGAACAAACAGGTTATAGGTAAATGAGATTTTTCATGGACTTTGTTGCATGTAAGCTAATTTTAAGTAAATTGCTTTGCCTCATATATTACAGCATCATGACAGATAAAATTTTCCTAGACTGCTTTGTCTTATAATAAATTTGCTTACTGGTTTTCATTTGAAACGTATTTGCATTGCTGCTACGTTACCAGCATAATACCAGTAAGAAACGTAAAGAAACCTCATGCATAAAATATCCATGCTTGAAGATTCACACACTTAAAATGTTTTTCTGTTATTCTGTAAGTTTGACTAATAAAGTTGGTTGTTCGATCAAAGTGGGGAGATTTCATTACACAATCTTATATTTTCACTGCATTAGTGCTGAAACAAGACTCAAATGTAGAAGTGTTTCATAAAATATTTAAATCCTGAATGTATTATCAAATTCATTTAAAAATCACTTGGTGCAACTTTTAGGATATCAATTAAAAAATTAATAATGCAATGTAGCTTTTTTTTTTTTTTGTTGTTGTGCTCTCTTTTATTAAAATATTTTTAGTGTTATGAAAAAAAAGTATTACTGTCAGAACTGAAAAACTAAGTTCTATGACTAGTATAGTTGATTCACTATGTTGTACCTAATTTAAAAAAAATATGGACCTCTTAAAAATTTTGTAAATGAAATATAATGGCTTATTTTCTAGAAACATTTGGAAATTTAAGTTAAATTTAATTTATGATATATTAATTTGGAAATATATATGAATATTGTGTAATATTCCTGATTTTTATTTCAAATAAACTTTTAATCTAAATTTCATGATTTACATTTTTACTATATTTTTAGTGGCCGTGGAACACCAAATGTGAGTGGACGTGATACTCCTTCATCACAGCTTGAAGAAGAAGAGCCAAGTGAACAAAGACCTCTTGATTTGATGGCTCCAACAAGAAAGCAGAATCAGGAGGATATTGAAGACAAATTTGGAAAATTTGAAATACAGCCTATGATGGAAGGTAATTCTCTTCTTTGGAAATGTTCTTGCACGTTTATGGATTCTATGATTTATATTTTGAAATCTTTTTGCTCATTTTGAAACTATAGTTGGAAGATAAAACTACTTAGGTCACATTTCTATTTCATGGGAAAAGAACTGATAAGTGATTGATTTCTTTCTTTTACCTGATTTTGAATATGGGGGGGGGAGTGCAGTGTTATATAATTTAGTAAATATATATGAAAGGAAAATGAAAAATAGGTATAAAAATATATGTGTACAATTTTCTGTCAGAGTTAAAAGTTTGGTTGATTTTTAATTTATTATTACTGAAAAGGCATATATATCATATTTTAATTGTTGGGCTTTTTTTTATCATTCTTTAAATAAATAAGACTTTGACTGAAAGAAACTGCCATAATTAATATCTTCTAATTATCATATTCAAAATTACAGTTGTATTATTCTTATTTTCAAAAAGGGGGGTATATGTACCATGATTCAAAAATTAACACTTTTTTAAAAAAACATTTGTCTTTTTGCGATGTGCACATGCAGTTTGCACTGAAATACTTGAAACTGAAAGTTTTTAAAATTATTTTACTACATTAGTGTCAGTTGTAATTATATCTACCAGATAGCATTATACCTTGGAATCATAAACGTACCATCCTCTTTTTTAATTATTACTGTCATGAGTCAGCATTATGCTAACTTCTTATGAAACTGCTTCATTCCCAAAATGAAGAAAGGCAAAGCACTGAATTTTGTAGTATTTGTAGATGGTGGCACATCACTTGTAAAAGCAGTTCTTACTTCTATCCTTTATTGAAAATGGAGTAAGTAACTATTACTCTCAGTATGAATGTTCATCCATCGCTCTAAATTTAAAAAACAGTGGTTTATTATTATGGGATTATTCAAAATTGCAATATACGGAGATCACTGTTCATCATTGAAAAATTTTAGTAAAATACACTGTTAGGCACAGTGTTTTTATGATCAATGTAGAAATGCTGATTATAACATTTTAGCTTGCCATGAAGCACTGTTTGATAATAACTACTTTATTTTTAATGTCACAGTTATGTTTAAAAATTTCTTTAAAAAATAATTTGTTCTACTTGCATAATATACTTTAATTCTACATTATAAGTCCTGAAAAGTAATTTAAAAAATATTTATTAAATGTTTTATCACTGTAGTTTGAATGAATGTAGTTATGACGGCTCCCAAATTCATACTCTAAGTGCATTTCAAAATATAAAATAATAGAAAAAAAAATAAAAATAATTTTTTTTTTTTTTTTTTTTTCTAAATGGCAAGATCTTAACAAAGCCAGTTTTGCTTCTTTTTTCCATCAATTCTGTTTTCTGCATAAGTTTTTTTTATTTCAAAGATAATTAAATTAGTTTTTCAGTACTCAGTATCTTGAAGTATGGTAGTTTTACCTATCTCTGCTTATAATGGTATTGTTGTGTCCTGTGAATTCGTAGAGATTTCCTTTAAAAACTAAGCTAGAGGTACAGGGAGACTAAAACTTTATCGAAAAGAATAACAGCTCTTGCAAACAAAATTAACAGTTATAAATAAGCCCAAGGAGGAAAATAAGAGCTAAGATAAAACTCTCTTTAACATGCAAAGAATACAACAGATCACAAAAACTGCATACAGACAGTCTAAAACAGTAATCATTGAGAAGAAAGTTCAACAGTATAACACAGACCAATCATTGAGAAAAAAGTTCTACAGTATAACACCGACCAAAAGTCTCGATCCAACTGATACTGCTTCACAGTGTCTTATAGGATATCTCAAGGTGGAGGGTAAGCATTTCTGAAAGCTTCAAGAAAAATCATCCTTAAAGCTTTAAAAATATTTTCCCCCAAAACTTCTTAGATATTGCCAAGTTGAGGAAAAGTTATACATTTCATCAAGGCTTAGTTGGAAGTTTACATCTGATTCTCTTTAAGTTGTACTTGCATTTCTTTGTCAATCGACTCAAAATATTTGAAAAATAATACATGAAATAAAAACATACAAAAACACCAAAAAGATTAAACAAAATATGTTATTTTCACTGTTCATATCACATACAAAATGCAACGAAAGGTACAACCACTCATCACACATACAAAATGGATTAATAAATAGAAATTAATACTTAAAAATACAGAAATACATGATAAAACAAATTGTCTACTACAAGATTTTGCAAAAATATACAATAATATGTACCTTGAAATCTCAATTAAATATAACATGGTTTAATACAATGGGTGCAATTTAAGATCTTTAACACAGCATTTCATGTTATGTTTTGAACTCTAGAATAAAATATTTAGTCTTTGGGAAATTACATTCATATTATCATAAAAGTACTTTAAAAGTTCTGTTATTGTTATTATTTTGCAGTATGTTGTTTCAGGAGATGAGACTAAATCAATGGTCAGTGACACCTGGAGTACAGATGTCCTTGCAAGTGACTCTGAAACAGTCGAACAGTCTGACATATCATCACAAGTTACTTTAGAATCACAGGTGACCATACAGATTTTGTAAATTTTATTAAAGGAATAAGTGGTATGCTTAAGAATCACATCATTTGTGAAACTGTTTAAATTTGATTAGCTTAAAAGAATAAATGCATTTTCTAAATACATCCGTAACTGTCATAGAATTTTGCTTTGTTTAAATACATTTTCTAAATATATCCATATCTGTCTTAGAATTTTGCTTTGTTTAAGTAGCATGTAGAATTTCATAAAAAAAATAATCTGCTCTAAATGCCTGTTATCATAATTCATCTACTTATTTTGTGTGGGAAAATTAATTTACAGGGTAAATAAAAAATAAAAATTTTAGCTCATTTCATATTGTATGGTAATATTAATTTGCTATAGAGCTCATTTAATATATAACAGCTCATAATAATTTTGTATGCCATCAAATATTTTCCATCAGATTTAATATCTTAATATTATAACTGTGTCAAGAAATAGATAATACTTGCAATTTATACTTCATTTTCAAATGAATACATTTCCAATTTTTCAAGGAATGTAATTTAATTTAGAGTTGTTTGGATCGAGCTCTACTAGACACTTCAGAGACAGCTAGCCAAAGTGATGCATGGAGCACAGATGTCTTAGCTTCAGATACAGAACGACTACAGGATGTTGATACTGATGATACTGCTAGTGTTGCTCGCTCTGATGATACTGCACGATCTGAAGTGGATGGTGAAATGGCACAAAATGTTGATGATGCTCAAATAGATAGGAAGGACCTTTTGGATTCTGATAGTATGATATCATTTAATTGCTGTGTATAGAAAAAAAATTAATATATTATCAGAAGATTTATAATTAAGTACCATGTTGTCACATCTTGCATATGGTATTATTATTATTATTTTCCCAGATCAGTTTTTATGTGATGCGTATGGATCAGCAGCTGAAAATCAAAGCTTTTTGTCATGCACTGATAGCTATGCTGGAGATCTTGCCAGCCTTAAAGCAAATTTTTCTTGCTTTTCTGGTATGAATGAAGACAGGCCAGTGTTTGTGGAAGGTACTGTACTCACAGTTATAATTTAAATGCATTTTGTGCTTTGTCTTCTTATATATATGAAAATATCCTTCTTATACATATATGCAAATTATGCATGAGGATGAGAGTTTAATAATACTAAATTTGATTTTTGTTTAGTGCAGTTGAAAACTTAAAAATTCTTCCCAACTTCATTTGTGACTCTACAATTCCAAGTGAATAGGAAATGAATATTAAAAAATAATTAATTGATAATTATGTGATCAAGAGTAACATTTACTATGTAAAATATATTGTTTTCCTCCCTTCAAGAAAGAAAACTTTTTTTTAAATTTATTATCAGATATGCAGTCCTTGTGAAATAATTATAGTAATAATAAATTAAACAAATTTTAGCAGATAATTTAAAAAAATACCATTTCAACATTTTTTTAAATATAAATTCTTTTATGGTTCTAATCATGTTATGAATTTTGTCAATCCATGAAGTTGGAAAATTGGTACTTGTCTTAGCAATTATTTAAGAAGGAATTTTGAATTACTTCTTTGATAAAATTTTTAAAATGTAAGTAGCATGAAGAAGAAAGAACATTACTTACTGAATTTAGTTCCACTGAGGAACAATTATTTAATTATGTGTTGGTCTTTTAAGTGAAACTGCTAATACAGGTGTGAGATTTCACAGTAATGTGGATTCTTGGCATATTAACTTGTCCATGATGCGCTCAAGTTCATAAATCATAGGCATATTAACATGTACATTATGTGGGCAATTCCATGAATCATACTTATGTAGTACAGTGCAGCATTTTATTTACATGAACAAATAAACAGATATGATTCACATAAAGTTAATAACGTAATATTTCTTCTGGCTTGCTAAGTAGCATACATAAGCATTCTTCATTCCTCTTCTTGTATTGGGTTTTAATGAAATTTTCCCACCACCACAAATATCGTCTGCGCTAACAGTTTGTGTTGCCACTTTTAATCATATTTTGTCAAACGATTTTTGGCATTTGAAAGAGACTTGCTTAAGAACACTGTGTTGTGAAATTTGTACAAAAATACCATTATCATTAAATACAAGGTGTCTGAAATGGAACTATCATGATGCCAGATTAGAACCATCATTTACTTCCAGTTTTGTTGCAAAAAGCCACCTACAGAATGTCTCAAAATTGTGTTTTATAGCTTTAGGTATTAATGTTGTATCATTTGGCACTGTGAAGGTTTGGTACCAAAAGTTAAAAACAAGGACTGTGACATTCAAGAAGCAGAGCACTCTGGCTGGCCTACTGATGTTGATAAGGCCCGCCTGCGAGAATGTGTGAAAGAAGCTCAGTATCGAGAGCTTTGTTTTCTGTGTGTGTGGTTATGGTAAAGCCTCGAGGGCTATCTGCCTAATGGGAGGAATGCCTTCGTGAAGAACTTTCTAAGGGAAACTGGCTCATATACACATTACACATGTTGAAAACCACGAAAATGCCCGAGCAGCCAGCCCATTTGCAGGATTTGAACCTCGGACCGAACTACCAGTGTTCAGTGACTTTATTGCTCGGCCGCTGGTGGGCGCTTTGTTTCCTGAACAATTTCCTTACATTTTTTGTTAATATGGTTTCCCATTATAAGGGTTAAATATTTTGTGAAAATCTTCAGTTTCATAAAAAAGCATTTCAACCAAATTATCCTTAATAATATTTACATTTTTGCATTCAAAATTGCAACTGGTGAAAAACACATAAAAATCCAATTATTAACAAAAATTTACATTGTTATGTATGCATGTATTTTATGCTTCAGTGCATTCAGAAATTCATCATTATAACGTATATGCTGTCAGGTTAACATTAGTCAAAAAGTGTGCATGGCAGCTAAAACCGTAGTGCATATTTGTAATCAGCATGTATAATGCATAAAATGCAAGCATTACATACTCTATGATGAAATATGAGATATGATATAATGATAAAATAAAATATTGCCCATTTTTGTTAGGCTAAAAGTTTTAATAAATTTTTCTACTGGAGATAGATTGTGTACTAAAATACATTTTTCAGCTCCATAAATTTGTTATAATAGAATCTGTTTGATAAATTTCTTCCACTTTAAATAATGTCTGAGTAAAATGTGATTAAATGTTCCCAGCATTAACATATGAACAACATTTATTATTTTTTTTTTATATTGTGTTGCTTTGTTTCAGTGGAGACTTTGAATCAGTATACTTAAAACTCGGTATACTTATCCAAAGGTATGCTTATCTGCATTTTGAAGATGCTGTTTTTATTTTTCCATAGGCATACTGGTGAAATATCAGGGAACTTCATTGAACAAAAGGAATTTTTCATGTGATTGGCTATATAACCTGCATGAAACTTAGTTTTTAATCTGTCCATATGTATTACTCTTAAACATTATCTTGATAATTTGCTTTTTTAAATTCAAGGTAATTTTTTTTACTTAATCATATTTCAACAGATCTTGTTAATTTTGTTTCATTTGTTTATTTATAGGAGACTTGAAAATGAATGACAAAACTAGTATGTATGATTCTGAAGATTCTTGCTTTAAGGTTCCGGACTTATTATGTATGGATGTAGGAAGCAACTGTGATATGTATGTACCCTTTTTTTATGTAATTATTTATTTAATTAGAATTCTATTTAATAAAAAGGGCTGATTCATGTTGTTAGTTTCAAATGGTTTTTGATGTATTTATAATTATTATTAATTATTAACTAATAGTCCACCTCTGGAACCAAATGACAGCCAGCAGTCACAAGAGGAGAGCTTGAGTAGTATGCAGAGCTTAGGTAACTATAATAGTGCTTTATATTTTTATATGTTTATCTTTTCAGAAAAGTTGCAAAATTGAGCTTCATATGCATGATAAATTTTAGTGTTGCATAGAAGGATAAATCAAGGATTATATATATAATTTATCCCTACAGAATTTTTATATTAAAAGTAAATGCTGAGCTGATTTTATTTGTATATAATTTTTATGTGGTAAGTTGCAATTTTAACTACCATACAGGTAATTGATTTGCAGTTGATTAGGTTGTAATTACGATGTTATTTAAGTAATGAGGTTTTCCTTTCAGATAGTGGATAAGAACCTTATTCTTTTCTAGGTTCAGAAATGAATTAAAATAAAACATGCCACAGCATGCAGCAAACAAAACATGCCTCACCTATAGTGAGGGATGTTTTTTTGGAAAACATTTTAGAAAAAAACTGGCCTGTTTTTATGGTAAACATGATAAAAATCATAGAACTTTATGCAGGTATACATAAGTGGGTGAGACACCAGAAACTCATCATTGGTCATATGAGTATAGTCCCATCACACTAACTTTGTAGTTCAGTCCACTTTTGAGATAATGGGGATAAGTGAAACAGAAAGTAGAATAAAAAAAATGTATGTTTTTGTATTATTTTGTAACATTTATTATTAAACGTTCTTTTATTACATTAATTATAGACTTATTTATTAGTAAGTGCTATTTTTATTTATAAAACAATCGCAAAATTTTTTAAAAAGTTCAACTAAAGAAGTTATGTTTGTGCTTCATCTGATCTTCACCCATAAAGAAGCCATCTAGTGTCGTTTGTCTTTTCTTGTTTCATTCAGCAAGTAGTTGTTGATAGCAAGACATTCACTGCATGAATGAGATTTCGTCTTGCTTTTAAACTTCTATCTAAATTCAAGTCTTTTTGTATAAACTGATCCATAATTTCCATTATAATGGCTAAACTCTTTTTTTTTTTTTTTTTTTTTTTTAGAAAATGTATTGAGAGTTCCTTTTGCTCCTTATCTTCAGAAATGCTAGTTCCGTTATCTTTGTCCACTTGTTCTACAAATTCTTTAAAATTGTCATGGAAGAGACTTTCACCAGTCATAATAATTCTTCAATATCCTTTGCATTTATATTGTCCAACTTTGTTCATTAGCTTGTGAATCTCAATTGGAATTTCAGAGATTTTAGTATTTTAAGCAAACAGATTAGTGAAGGCCTTGCAGTTCTAAAAGCCCGTCTACACAAAGCGATTTTCTCAGCCGACTTTCTCATGGAGCAACAGTTTTAAGGATCTGCACATGTGCCAGAAATCGGTCATGTTCTCTGCCGCGATTTCAGAACTGGTGTTCACTGCTCACTAGCGTACGATAAAACCAGTCTCTAGCCTATAAGATTGCTTTGAGTGATCGCATGCTTTTTTCTTCATTTGGAATAATAAATATGGCTGCATTTCGTTGGATTAAAACTCAAATTTTTCAACTAGTATATTTCTATAGAGAAAATGTTGTGTTGTGGGACGCGAGTAATGTAAATTTTAAAAATAAAAAATTAAAGGATTATCTTATTTTGGTAAGCTTTGTCTTCCTCATTACTGTATATATTCAAATATCTTCTATTCAGGGTGAAAATTATTTTAACTCCACCAAGACAAGTTCCAAAAACTATTAATAATGCCATGTCATGGGTACTAGATGAAAATATTCGGAAACTACTTGAAACTGGGGTCGCACTTATTGAAATAATTCAGAAAGCAAAATCTCCAGTCGAGAAATTACGGGCCGATTTAAAGCAGCGCAGAGACTCGTTGATTTTGCCGAAAATGGGAGTTAATCAGGTGACGAAGTACATAGCTTTTCCGACAGCTCCTAACATGAGTGATCATAGTCCAGTGGTAAAGATCAGAGTAGGTTTTCTTTCTACATCGAGATCTTGGGTTCGATCCCCCACTTTAATTTTGGACTTTCTGTGCTTGCAAGGACTTTTGAATTTCGTTTCTCTATCACTAAATTTGAACTGCATGACTTAAAAGTAACTTTTTATTTTTTCGCCTACGGGCGTGGTGTTTATTGAATTTTAACGCCTTTCTTTTTATTTTTTGAATGGCTGTTGGCACGTGTTTTAAGATCTACTAGTGAAAACTTTAGTAGTTGTGTACCAGCTCAAAAGAAAGTCACAAGTCACAAACTCAGCTTTGTGTTGAGTTTTGCGAAAACAAATTACAGCCTAATTTAATACAATATTGCTAAATTTTATTAGCTGATTAACTGACGCATATGACATAGTTTTTCAGACTGTATTAGTTATTTAATTATGCTGATATAGTTTTTTTAATGTTTAGTAATATACTACTTAAGAATTTGCACCTTTATGATATTTCTATTTGAAATTTTGCACTGAAATTACACTGCTGCTTTGTAAGTAGTAATCTTTATTCTTTATTAGAACTTTTACTCATACTGGTTTGATATTCACACATTATTGTCTATTCATTAATAAAGGTTTTGATTTTTAAAGCACAGTAGTATTACTTATTTTTTTGAAACAGGTTATTTTATTTTTCAAGATTTAAGTGCACAAATATGAGGTGTCAGAAAAAATTAAAATTAAAAATAATAAATAATAAATAAATAAAAAAATAAAAGTAATCTTTGTAACTCAGTACACAAAGGAAAGCATATTTTAAAAAAAATTTTTGCTGCAACTAAATTTAGCAAAAAATCAAAATCCGCAGCATCCGTAATACTTTTCGAATTGTACCGTTGTTTTACGTAACTCCCGGACAGGGTATTATGAAGGCTTCAAATTTCTCTCGTTTGACTCAATTTCGGTCCAAACGCATTTTTTTCCCCCTTCTATATCAATAGCTAGTTCAAAATGTAGCTTTATCTAAGTAGCAATTTAAAGTAAAACAGTCATACATTATTTTAACTATTTGACAACACCGTAAGCTTTTTTTTCAAATCGTAGACAGTGTGATGCTGTAGAGGGTGGGAACACTTCCTTTCACAGTGATTGGCTGAGTGAATTCCTGTACTAATGAGAAAATCGTTCTGTTTCGACAGCGAGCTATCTCAGATATTGTTGGCCATCTAAGTCGGCCGAGGAAATCACTACGTGTAGATGGGCGTTAAGGGTTAATCCAAGGTTTGCACATGTGCAGTTATCTGATAATAGTCTTGGAGCATATCCGTCTGAAAATTTTTGTTATTTCCTTCTGCTTTTCTTAATACAGGTCAAACTATATAGCAATAAGTTTTTATAGTAATATTGAAGTCTGCTGTTCTCTTATCATTCATCTGTCATTTATTATAGCAGATCATATAATATGTATATGTTAAGAACTGTAGTAATGCATTTAGTAATGCTTACTAGAAAATATGCATTTATATAAGATACATATTTAAGTATTTCATTATTATTTCTAATCCTTTTTGTAATAATTATGTGTAACACTATTGAATAGGAAATAAATGTATTTTATTCTTTTGTAGTAAAACTATTTTAACATCCTTTCTTAGGTCGTGTCAGCTTGGCTGTGAGAGAACTGCCAGATGTTGGTGATCAGGATTCTGGAGTTATGCTGTTAGATTCATTACAAGAGACTGTGCAAAATACACAACAAGCACACAGGTCTAGCATTGTTGATATACTCTCTTTAGATCTTACTCGTACATTAAATCTTCCTACCACAGCGTGTGCTGCAGTGGATCCACTTAAAAAATCTGAATCTGGCAGCAGTTTGATGGATTTTGAAAGAGAAGTGTTTGGCAACAAAGATTCTTCTCAGAGATCATCTGATTCAGGTAATGATTCTTTGCGAACTGCAAGAAATTCTATTGGAGAGAGGGGCGCTAAGAGAAAACTTCAAGAATTTAGTGCTGAAGATGTGTGTCCCCAGTTTAGAGCAGTTACTTTATCTGGCAACAGTAGCACTCAAAATGCAACTGAAAACTCTCGTCCACTAACTCATTGTGGGTCTGGATTAAGTGAAAGTTCAGATGCATATAATTCTCGTCATATGAAAGCCAATTCAGTGCCGATAGCAGTAGGAGCTATACCTAAATCAATAAGCTTTCATAAGAGTACAGAAGATATGGTGATTATTCTTTTGTTTTTTGTATTAGTAAGATTATTGATAAATATTTCTAAATATGCATATATATATACTTTTTTAAAGAGTTCTTTTATTGTATACCATATTTTTTTATTGTCTATATGTTCTTTTTTTTTTTTTTTTTTTTTTGGAAAAGCTTAAATAATTTTTAGGGTAGGAATAATCATATTTAGATTAACAGAATGGAGAGCAAAATTTTTAATATCCAACTTTTTATTTTTTGGAAAATTTTATGTTATGAAATACGACAGCAGCAAAGCAAGCAGCAAAGCAATTAACATCTCATTAATGTTGCCATTGAGTATTTATTATTGTTGGTCAATTTCTTACTACTGTATTTTCTATAAGGTAGTGCTTAGTTAGTTGTAATTAAAATAATAAATGCTCCTGTGCTATTGTGTGTGAATATGGTATACATTTGAAAAAGCTGTACTGATAAATGAGGCATATTAAAATTCTAATTAAGTGCTCTTATACGTAAATTCAGTTGATAGTCAAAGGAGACATGGTTGGCTGGTGTTTGATGTACTCTGAATCAGAATGTCAACAAAGTTTATGTGGTGTGATTGGGAAGTTAAATATAGAAATTGGTTTGCCCATAGATGTAAAACGAGAAATTGTTCTGTTTTTGAAACATTTTGCAAAATTCACAATATCTGAGTGCCGTAGAAAATAAGTAATGTGTGTGGTGAATCTTTGCAGCTTAGTGTGTAAAATTGTGCAAGTACTGTAGTTAAATACTCCTTTTATTATTTCCGCCCTATGTACAAAATTGAAAATATTGATGTAAATAATAGCGATGTAAAGAATTCGGAGTTCAAACATTTAACTGCTGAGTAGCATAATAATATATTTCAAAAGTGCAATGGAGAGAAAGCTAGAAGCTGCAATATGGTGCTATAAAAAAGTTATGAGTGAATATGGATTAACACATTTGACTATGTTACAAGTGGTTTAAAAACAGTTTGATGAAGATAAAATTTGTGCTGATGTTCCTTCAAAAAAGAAAGACAAATGTGGATGGAAATATATTGATTCTGAACAGTTAACCAAGTTAAGGAAGTGTGTTTGAAATCATTGAAGTTCAAGTATGTCTTGTCCTGTTGGTATTTCAAAGTCTACAATCTTAACATTTTTTAAGTGAGGAAATACAGTAAAGCATATATGATCTGTTTAACATGTGTTAACAGATAAAAGTTAATTTGAAAGTTTTGCATAGCAAAAATGAGACCAGATCGATATTTTGAAGGTTTGTAGGAGTATGTCCACATAGATAAAAAAATCTGATGCGTACACCACGACTTCCTTGTACGGAATATTAAGTTATACGCATTTTTTCTTGCATTTCATTTAAACTTATTGGACTGAATTAAATCTACTTCGCAGACAGTGCATAAACCACAATAGAATAAATGCATTCTTTAAAATTCACTCTAGTATTTCTTTACCATAGCAACACTCTGGCGCTAGATTCACTTAACAGTATTATATTTCGTTCATATTATAACTCATAATGCACAAAATTTATATCATTTAAAGAATAGAATTATCTAATCGTTGCCACATGGTCTATTCAAATACTATAATAAAGCTAGAATGATGTATAAAAGAAATTAAGCAAACAAAACAAAAAAGAAACAGTTTTTCACAGACGATGGAGTATTTCTCATTTAATTAATTCAGTTCTCACTTCGCGAGAAGGCAAAAATAAATAAAAACTCAAAATATCTATATTAACCTTTTGAGGCCGGGGCTTTGGTAGCAGTAAAAGCTACCAAAGGACGGAGAATCTTGAACCGAAGGCTTTCCTCCCTTTAAGAAATCACCTATTTGCAACAAAGATTCTTGTGTGTAGTTTAATGGATTCTCAGAGGGGTGCATCTAAGTCGCAAAAGGAAGACCTTTGAAAGAGATAAGTGGTTAAAACCTCAAGGACGTCAAATTTGACATTTCACCCCACTTTTCAGCCTGGGAAATGGGAGGAAAAGACATGGCCACTAAAGTGGACAACACTGTCTTTTCAAAGAGGCTCTAATGGCCATCCTGTCTTCAAAAGGTTAAAAATTACGAAGTAAATCTTAAACACTTATTTCCTCAAAAAAATTCCAGAAAGGATTAAGCATGATTTAATTGGCAATAATAAATGAAGGCGTTATCTTTGTTGTTGTGAAGCTAAGTTTCTCTAGATTGGCAACAAATCCACTAGTCTGCTGTTTCAAATGTAAACAATCAATGGCTGCCATAAAAAAAGTCTTAGCAGCACTTAAACAACTTTAAAATTGTTAATAATTCTAAACATATTGCATACAGATTTACTAAAAAGGCATAAAAACCTTAACTGGAAGATAAGAACAACATAATTCAATCACTTTTAAAGCAAAAAATGTATAATTTACAAACATATAAAAGTAAAGATACTGAGATCACGGAGCCGGGTAATGGAATGGATATATATATATAAATATATTTATATATGTTTGGTGCGGCCGATTGCAACCAAAATACGAGGTGTACATCTATATGTTATGGCAGTCCTATATACAAAATTTCAATGTTCTGAGACTACTTGTTTTTGAGTTATGCGAGATACATTCGTACAAGCGCCACAAAAAATTCTCTTTAGAATTAATTTTAAAGGCTCGTAAAGTTTAATGAAAAGAAAATATTATTCTTTTTATTACATGGACTTTTCTTAGAAATCACATACTTTTTAATAATGTTTATAAACAAACAAACATGGGCACATTTCAGTTTACTGTGCTATTTAATTTACTTTTTCTAATACTTTTAGTATAAGTGGGCGTTTGGTCTGAAGCCACCAATCAGCAACCACCTAAATGCTATAAACCACCTAATTACTGTCTTCATTGCTTTAGCCAGTTGATCAATCATTGGTATTAAAATAATTATATTATGCATAAATGTCCTCACGATCCTGAAATATTTTAATTTACTTTTGGGAATACTGACTATATCAAATGCATTTATTGAAATGCTGCTTCAGAGTTTGCTAGCCACCATCAGTGAGTTCCTTGGACAGACCAGATTAATGATTCTTTGCTTCCCTGAGGTTTCCTCTTGACAGTGACATTGGTGGGAATTAAGATTAGACGAAAATGCATTTAATTACTAGGAAATCTCTCTTCTTATGGTCATAATTGATTTGAATACATACAGCCCTTTCCAGTGGATCACTGTAAAGCAAAACACATTTGTGCATTCAGTTGCAGAATGTTACTCAGATATGTTGACGTGATCTTGAACTTTGCTTGGAGCTAAAGGGTGTATGATGATTTTATGCTACATAGTATATCAGAAGTCTAATAGAGCACATTTTATCAGAAATGTTGAACATTTAACGGTGAAAGACTTATTTTGTTAGTAAAAATAATGATGCATGTAGTGTTTTAAAACATGTAAAATCATTTATGTAATTTTTCTGCAGGAACAGGAAATGGATGATAAAGTTGGAACCCACAAGAAAGGTCTTTTTAAACTTTCTAGTTTTAGGCTGACATTTAAAAGTCGAAATAGAAAATCTCATCTAGCATTTAAATCAGATAGTGAAAAAGGTAATATTTTCTAAAATATTACACTGCTTTCCAAAATAGAGGTGTTGAACTGTATGTGTAATGTTTCTTCTTCTGTTAGATAATCTTCATGATGTTGACGGAAGAATTGGTAGCAGGCAGTCACAAAGCCTATATGCTGAAGGGAGAGCATTGCAACTTGGTATGTTCAAAACTCACACAATTTTATTTGCAGTTTTCAGTTACATATTGCTGATTTATGAAATCCTACTTAGAATTAATGCTAAAAGGCCTGATTTTTATCAAATGTATGCCTCCAAACCAATAAACAAAAATTTTTGAAAAGTCAGTCTCATGCAGACATTAATAAATAATTTTCCAAATTACGTATTAAAAATTACGTAAGTCTTTCTCAAAAAGTGCTAATTTTATTACTTAATTTAACTACTTTATTTTGTTGTTTATCTGGTTGCATGCTTTTGAAAATAAAAGTGCAAGGTTTTGAAAGTAATGAATATTCTTGTATATATAAAATATGATATTATAACCTTGATATGTATTTTTATAATGTACCTTGATAAGTATTAGAGTGCTACTTTTTGGAAAATCAGTTTCAGCAATAAATTTTTATCATGTATATTATTTACCAGATATTTTTTTAGATTTCGGAGGTTAGGAAGGAAAATCATGAAGTGATCATCAAAATCAGAAAGGTCCATTAATATACATATATATAAAAGGAGAGGGTAAAAATCTAGTTAGGGCTGTAAAGAACATTTGAACCTCCTACCTAATTCCTAATATTACATGCAAAACAATTTCATATCATTTAAATCGAGGCTAAATCAAAAAATATATGTGAAAAAAACCTATCCAATCTTTATATATTAGAAATATTGTACAGTTAACTCAGAAAAGTATTGCGAAAAAACCTATCCAATCTACATAAAACAGAAAACTGTGCATATAAAAACATGGTTGATCTTTGTTCAAAGCTTCAAACAGAACGTGAAGCCCTCAACCAAGTTGATTAACCTATTAAGACAACAAACACATATTCGTCGAACAAACACATAGAGACTGAAAATTCCTTCCTTGAAATTAATTTTAATTATTTATCTACTACTAACGATGTCTCAATAGATTTGTCCCTTTTCCCGACATGTTTGGTGTCTTAAAACATCAAAGTAAAACTTAAAAACATCAAAGCAATAAATTTAAAACCTTAAGGCTGTAATTATTTGCTTAAAGAGAAAAATTATTTTTAAAAAATGTAAGTAAAATCCTGTACAAAGTGGCCTGGTTAGGCTAATGTACAATCAAATTATTCAGTGTTAATTCTGAAAGTGTCAATAAACATCAATTTAAGGGGCAGGCCCCTAAGCGTGAAAGTTAAAATTTTATCCAAAAAATTTTTTTTCAGAGAGGAGTTCTGTTAAGACCAAAAGTCAGAGGGAACCACAAAGAAATGTAACTTTCAAAATTTGTTAACATACTTGCATCCGTCTTGAGTGTTTCCTTAAATTAAACTGAGCTAAAATGTGGAAAAAGGCTGCCAGAAAGTAATGGAAGACCTAAGGAGTGTTACCATGATTACAAAACAGTCAAATTCCACTTATTGGAGGACAGTAGGGAACAGAAGCAAGTAAGCATATTTTTGTAGAAGCCAATGGAATTGTCCGGCATGAGGGGAAAACACTCCTAGGGGTAAGGGGTCGAGGAAGGAGGCTGCTCGTTCAAAATGGAATCGTGTTGAAGAAATTGCTGTTTCTACAAGTGACTAACTAAGCAAAATGGCTAAAATTCAATGCAAAAATGAAACTGGCCAAAAGCAAGTTGAATTGGAGGGAAAATAGAAAGATGTTTGTAAAAGTTGTCATTTTTCACGCTAATGGGCTACTGTCGTATCAGGAAAAGGGCCCTTAAAATTAATAACAGAGAGTGTTGTCCAGTAAATCCTGATATTATATAGTAAATATACAGATTTCCTATGCCAAATTTTGAGAGAAAAAAGTTTGGAGTATTGAGAATCTATTTTACATTAGATTACCTAGTTTAGTCATCCATCAGCTGTCCATCTTTTTGGATTTGGTAAAAAATTTCATGTCACTAAAACAAGTAATTTAAAATAACAGGTAGATGGCAGCTTTTTTTAGAAACTTTCTAATAATTGCTTTTAGAATTTGATTGTCTTGCAAGATGCTAAAGAAGTTTGAATTTCTTTTGTAGATAGTCTGTGTTACTACAGATTCTTTTAATTCTCAGAAGTTGTGATTGATAGTATTAATAATGACCCTTTTCGAAATGTTAGAAGTCCAGTTAGTGAGCTTGAGCATGTGAAATTTGAAATCTCTTCATTTGTCATAAATTTTAATAAGATTGTAATTAATAATTTGAATATCAAGGTAAACTATGTCATTTTGCTGTGTGTTGGTGGTGTTAAGTTTAAGGCTAGTAGGATATATATTTGCATTTTCTAGTTTCTTGAAGTTATTAAAAGCTGTCATGTCATCTATAAATGTGTTGGTAATATTTTTGCTCATCCTTTTTATTCAGTGATTGCATGAATTTAAATTCTTGAGTGAATAGGAACAATCCACAGATTGCGTTAGAACTATTGGCGCCCATAGGTATTCCTTGAACTTGCTTAAATATTTTCTAATGAAATTGTAGATAATTGTTAAAAAGTACACTGTGGAGTAAAAGTTTCCATTCTTCTCTAGATAGGAGGTTCAAATGTTCTTTACGGCCTTAAGTAGATTTTTACCTCTCCCTTTTTATAAATCTTTTTTAAAAAATTTACGGCTTGATGCACAATTTTGACTGACTAGGTCTCGCGCTTTTGTGATTTACTATTTTTACTATTACAATTCACACACACAAGTGAATGCAAAATCATAGATACTATATTGTTTTGTGCATATGGGTTCATAATGAATTAAACACACATAGAAACAATGATAGCTTGATAGAATTTATTTTTCTAGAAGAAATGCTTAACAGTTCTCAAACTTTCCACAAGAGTATTCATACAGCACTTCTCAGTTTAACAGAGCACAATCAAAGATTACCACTTCAAACTGCTAAGAGCTTGAAACAGCTAAAGAGCAAAGCTCACAGCTTCTTGGAAAAAGAACTACAAAATTTCATCGTCTCCAGAACAGTTTGAATTCTACTTTCCTTGGCAAGAACACAGTTTGATCATCTTAAGAATTCAGTTAGATTACACATAGAATGCAATGTTTATATTTTTAAGCTGTTTCAGACTCAGGTTATTTTTTTTTTTTTTTTTTTTAATTTTAATTTATAGAAATCTCTATGTAAGTTTTGTACTTACTTATTATCGCAACCAGGTTGGCGCTATTTGTAAGTTTGAGTAAAAAGTATAATGAAAGAAAAGTAGTTATTAATTACAGATACTTTTTAATACAGTTTTTTTATATTTTTTTTTTTAAAATAGCAATTAACCCTTCCAGTTTCGAATTTTGAATAAGTTGCAGAATTATTTTTTTGGCGGAAATCTTTTGGCTATTTGCTTTTAGCACTGATTGAAAGCCGTATTCGCCCTAAAACCATGTACAACGTCACTTATTTTTACTTAAAAAACATCCCAGAATTGCACAAAATGGCATTGCACACCCTCTTGACTTTATCCATGTACACTGGCTATTTTCTCATAAATTCAAAATTTCACGAAAATGCAGGAAAATTTTGTGAATCTCCACACGCTCTTTTTACAAAACTACGTATAACGCGTAGGGTTGTTGTAAGTAGGGTCGCCAAATTTGGCAATTTATGCGAATTTTGGCCTGGTTGCGTTAATACGTAAGTACCAAAGTTTTTCCTTTCCTTGGTATTAAAAGTTAGCATTATCGTAAGAGTTTAGCATAATCGGGAACTTCCCAATTTTTAAGGTTTGTTTAAATGACAATTAGTTTTGCTCTTTATTTATACTCGCTTTTGAATTTCGGATTAGCATATATTGGTTTTAGCTTTTTTTTTTTTTTTTTTTTTTTTTAATATCAATGTATATAATTTGCTTCTATAGTTTTTTGAATTGTCAATTTGGCACAATGTTAGGTTTATCCTTTTTTCCAAATGTTTCGAAAATGTGTGGGGAAAATTCTGGTACATTTGAGATTCAAGTTTTGGTTTTTTAGTCGTAAATAAAAATTTGCTGAAATCTTTTTACAGTTTTTGATCTCAAATGGACCAGGAGAACGAAACATATTTTCAAAACATATTAATCGACATTTACGAAACTTTAATTCATTTTGCTCTGATGAGTTCTATGTTGGATTCTCAATAAAAGGAGATTAATTTTTATTTGTATATTTTTCCCTTTCGCATTTTTATTTTTTGAGTTTGTTCTACTATGAATTTTTTCTTTAAATTTGATTTGTTTTGTGTTGTGCTATACCTCTTATACACATTGCAATTAATTATATTATAGAGGAATTGCCTTACTTTTATTACAATTTAATAAAAATTGAGATGCTTTAAGTTTATATATATATACATATAAGTTTATGACCTTAAATTCACTTAGTGCGAAATCGAGTTATTCTACTACTTGCACAATTGCTGCAAAGTAAGTTAATAATAATTTATTTACTAAAGAATATTGATTATATTATCTCCCAAGATTAATTTTAGTAGAATTATCGTAAAAGAGTGAATCCATACTTAGTAAGTTCAATTTCGAAAAATGTTAAAAATGTTTAATGGGGACTTGAATTAAATCATGAAAAACAAAATTTCAATTGTAAAAAGAAATAAATTAAAAGCAAGTAATTTAATTAAATGCAAGTAATCATTGCCATTGATCGGAAATTAGTTGACTTTTCAAGGGGAACAAACCAACTCCCGTTTAATGATTAATAATTAAGAAATAAATACGAAGGTGTTTCGTCCTTTACTTGAGCAATAAGGTGATGCCAAACTGGCAATTCAAGCTAGGCCAAACATTACCATGAATAGAAGGGATAAAGAACCAATGCAGAGAACCAAAGAACTCATTCTGATTAAGCATTTTAGCTAATTCAATTTTGAGTGAAAAGCAATTTCTGCAATAAAATTGATATCGCTTGAGTAATTGTCCCCCGACATCCTCGTGTTTATGCATTTTAGTTCAAAACTATTTGTAAAAATTAAACATTGTAAATTGTCATTATGAAATAGAATTCAAAGTAATTGAAATAAACATGAGAAAATTACAAAATATAAGAAAAATAATGCAATCTTTGTAAAAACAAATCAAAAAATAAAAATCTTTTAAAAAATATATATAATAAGAAAAGGGAATGTACATGAAGATATAAAGGCCAGAAAAAGCATTAATTAACTTACGTTCTTTCTAGTGGGGAGTGGGCAAAGTGTTCTCTTCACGTCTGAATTAGAAGGGTTGTGTTTCAGAAATTCTTTTTCGGCAGCAGGGGCTTTGAATTATTATCAGTTGGTAAGACTTGTGTGAAGTAATTTATGGTAGTGGGAGGAACTAGGAATTCTTGAGGGATATATGTTGTGGAGCTCTTATTTGAGTGAAACCGTCTGTTAAAATCTTTTTTGAAAATACTAGTGAATGGAAATTAATTAATTTCTGGCTAATTGTCATATCGTAACGATTAAGAAATTAAGAAAAGGAAAAAAGGAATTTTCACTGTCAAAGAGCTATTTGACAGACTAAAGATTATGAAATAGGCCCATTTTTTTTAGTAACAGCTTTAAGTCTGAAGACAATTAGCTTTTTACAATTATATACAGCTTAGTTATTACACTATGTACAAATCCTTCAATGATAGTCATCCAACTTATACCGCCTTCTCAGGTTTAGGAACAAATTATCATATCCCTATCAGTTACATGATTTAGAGTGAGTATTTAACGCCTGCTCTTTTAAGGCAATGGTTAATAAATTGATTAGGTATTAGATTATTTTTGAGAATTTTAATAAGGAGCAAAATTTCGCGTTGTACATGAAGCAATCGTATCTTTGCAGATATTTTTTATTCATGGTATTTGATTTATAATTGTATTGTTAATTACTTTTTTGGATATGTTGGAATTCCAATTTATTAATTTGTTAGTATTAAAATTGAAGTTTTGTGTTTTGTCAGAAAGTAAAATTTTTTTGTAGTTAATGATTTGAAGATCTAGATAGTCTATGCTATTTTGTGAATTATTAGTTTTATTAAGTGTAAGACAATTTGGATAAATCTCGGAATATTCGATTTTATTAAAATTATTAATTGTTAATAAGATCATCAATATATCTGTAAGTGTGCTTGCAGTAATTTAATTCTTGTGGTTGTAGATTTTTTTGGAAGTTAAATTCTTTTATAAATAAAAAGATATTAGAGCGAGGTACTGGAATGGAACCCCATTGGAAGACCTGTGACTTGTTTAAAATGTTGATAGTTGATTTTGAAATTTGATGTAGTTATGAAAAAGTGTGCATTTAGGTAGGTTTTCCATTTGTCATGAGTCATATCGGAGCATATCAGGGAAGAGTTTTAGTTAGATCCAGTAGACTAGGTATAGATTTCTTCTAGAGGAAGTGAGGTATATAAGTTTCAAAGTAATAGCAGTTAATGTTCTGCATGTTAATTGTTTGAATGGCATTAATGACAGGAGTGTTATTATGGACGATCCAGCAATAGTTATGATTAGTGCTACAATCATTGAAAATAAATTTACAGATTTTTTTAAGTTGAATTGAAAAATAATAGTCTACATTTTTTTTTGTATTAGTTCCATTTGCTATAAATCTGAATTTTAATGGTGTTTTTATGGAATTTGGGAAGTCGCATAAAGGTTAGTAAATCTGTTGTAGCTTGCATTGAAAGTAATATTTAGTTTCTTTATGAAAGTTTTTAATATTTATTATAGATGTTTCTGTAAGGTGGGCTAATTGATAATTAGTCGCGTTGAAAGTTCTTTATGAATAATTTCTGCATAGAATTGTTTTCATATAATTCTAAAGTTATTATTTGCTTTATCTATTTTTGTAATAGTAAAAAGTTATTTTTTTTTTTTTAATTTTTTAATATCTGATGTAAGTTGCGACCAATTCAATGTACTTTTAAACTTGAGGTGATTGATTTTGGTGGATATGCGTTGAAGAATTTTATCTTTCCATTTTAAAATGGTATCTATAGGTAAATCCAGTTGATAGCTTGCTTTAATTATAAATTCGTTGATGTTGTTTTCAAAAGTCTTGCAATTGTAATTTTTAGTTATGTTTCTGACGCGTCTAAATTTTGCACCATAACTCATTAGTGTTTTTAGTTGATGGTTTTGCATGATATTCAGGTTGCCAGTAATTATGTGCTTTGATGAGAATCTACGTAAATACTGTAAACTGGTGACTTACATTGTCATTCTGCTGTCTCATCTATTTCATGGTGGTTAGTTAGCAAGTTGCTTAAGGTCCTTTGATATTTAAATGTGACTATTGGTATGGTGTCTACAGCTGGGAAGTAAACTTTACAATTGTTGATGATTCTTGGGAATCAAATATTGTCAAACTGCGGATGCAGAAAATTGACAAAAATAAATTTTGCGTTGATTCGGACAATTAGAAAGTCTGAATAGACAAAAATCGAGAACCATGTCTCTAATGATTTGTATTTCATCGTAGCTTTCATGAATGAATTTTTTTAGTTTGATAAGGAATTTATTAGTACAAGAGTGTAACCAGTTGAGAAGTTTCTTGGGGCAGTTTTCCGAGTCAAAAAAACATTTCAATTGCTTTTTCAATGCAAGTGTATCCAAAGTGGGTAAAAATCTCATATTATTTTTTAATTTGCTTCCTCTTTTTCCTCTTTGCAATTTTGTTGCTGTAAAGCTAAATTGGCTGAAAATGGATTTTTTAGAAGTATCTCTGTGACTATGTATATAAATGTTAAGTCCATAGATCCCTATGGACGTGTTTTGTGATTAGGTATTATATCTAAGATCTGAAGTTGAATAAAGTTGAAGTCATGGTGTTTAAAGTGCTCTAATTCTGCTGTATTGAGTTGTGATGGTGTACTTATTTTAGTGCTATACACACACACACGCACGCACGCGCACACACACACACACACACACACACACACTGGTAATCAAAATTAAAGTATAATGAAAAAAAAAAAATGCTCTAATGTTGCAACTAATTCCCAGTGCTGTAATTATTTATGTTAATTAAATACAATTGAACACAAAATTTCACTTCCACTCGTACATTAGCACCAAAAATATGCAAATTTGGTGTTGATAATGTGATGCGCAATGGTTGCATGTTGGAATTCCGGTCGGTAGTGTTGTTTAACATAAATGCGGTTTCTGAGAGTAGTAATTATAGCTCAAAGGCATCATTTAAGTGATGGTCAAAAGTGGCGAATAACTGGTAGAATTGAGGGAAGTCGAATACAAATAGAGGTATCCGAAGATTTGAATATGCCTCAAAGTGTCATATCAAGTGTTTGGAGCCACTTTAAGCATTGTATCCATTCATAGACAACCTGGTCAAGGGTAGCCAAGAGCAACAACTGCAACAAAAGAGCATTTTCTGTCGTCAGCTCGAAGAAACCTTGAAGCAAGTACAAGACATTTGGTTTTAGAGCCTCAGGTTTCCTCAAGAACTCAAATTAGCCATTCTACTGCTGCACAAAGGCTTAACAATGTTGGACTGTATGCGAGAAAACCAATTGTTTGTGTCCTACTCACTCTAGCTTTCAAAGAAGCCAGTTTAAACTGGTGCCATCATCGTGTTCAATAGAGTCAACATGACTGAGCCCGAGTATTGTATACTGATGAGTTTAAATATAATCTGAACAGTGGTTCTAGACGTGTTTTAATCTTCCCTTGTCACACACAAAACTTATCTTCCCTTGTCCTTGAAATATCCTGTTTCCGCGACCATGGTTAAATAATTTGGGGAGGAATCATGACAAATGACCAAACAAAGCTGCATATAGTTCAAGAAGGTTCTGTAACCACTCAGAGATATGTGGACAGGGTATTGGAACCCCAAGTTAGTCTGTTTAGGGATGCTGTTGGCCCAGCGTTTTTGCTAATGAATGACAGTGCTCAGCCTCATCGAGCATATCTGGTGTCAGAATGCTTGTAAACAGATGATATCACTTGAACTGGTTGGCCGCCTTACTCACCCGACTTGAACCCAACTGAGCATGTGGGGGATGCCTTAGGGTGTCAAAATGAAGTACACCAAATTCCTCCCTAAACCCTCCAAGGAACTGAAAAGCACACTTTTAGAAGAGTGGCCTGAAATTCTGGAAAACTTGATCAACACTGATAAAGTCTATGAAATCAAGATGTGAGGTACACATATGTAGCTAAGGTGACCATATACCATATTTAAAAAAAAAAAATTTCACAAATGGTGACTTAATTTTTCCATCATTTTCCAATTTCCATGAATTGAGTTTTAATTTCAATATTTTGCGAATAATCAACTGCCAGACATTGTAGTTTATGTTAACTAATGCTTTTGTACAAGTGTCTATTAATATGATTTAGTCAGCAATATGATAATAATATCAAAGTGAATGAATATACTAATGATCTTATTAAGTGAAAAATCAGGCAAATCATTTATTCATCTTATGTATTTTTATCTTATTTAGAAGCTGGGGATGAAATACTTGCTAAGTATCGCAAAAAATCTCCAGTTGTTGCTGCCAACTCTACGCAAAAATCTTCCAATTCAGAATTCTCTGAAACATTGAGCAATGTTTCTGACAGTGTTATCATAGATGGAAGTCCTCATAACTTTGAGCCAGTAAATTTAGATACTGCGGTAGTTTTTTCTGATGCCAAGCGTAAATTGAGATTAGTACTTGGTTCAGCTGACTTGCAGACATTGCCATGGCTTAGCCATTCTCGTGGACGTTCCATTTCTGGTGCCTTGCAGAGATTACAAGAAAATGAATTAGTTGCTTTTCTTAAAGTCCTTCTTGCAGAAGCTATTAATCTCCAGCAAAGACCTTTGATGGCTCATTTACATGAAGCCCTCCGATGTGTTCGTCAGTTTGATGATGTTGGGTAAGTATGTATTAATAAATATTGTAAATATTTTACAAATAAAGCGTAATGATGTTTATTTTTAATTTTTAATGCTCAATTTACATTTTTTATGCAATTAAATGATAATTAAGATAGTATAGATGCTTTGAGAAATCGTACATAAATAAGGTATTTTCTGATTACCTATACCCATAGCATAAAGTCACAAAAAAGTATTCACAAGGAAAACACTATCTCACAAAAAAAGTTTTATAGCAACTCATGATGTTGCTGTAATATATTTATGTGGCAACCCAGGTATGTGCATAGTATATATCTGTTTTGGCCGGTTCTCAGTGTCGATGTTGTGTCATGCAGAGTATGTGTAATTCTATGATAGTTATTCTGTGATGGGAGAACAACAGCACAAATAAGAATTTCTTAAAAGAAAGGTGTTTTATTACCAGTATACCTGCTTTTTAAATTTTATTAAATGATTGCACTTGTATCAGGTTCTTAGTGTGGCACTAATCTGAAAATAGCTTTTGCCTTTCATGCATTAGCTTACTGAAAAATTAACTGCCAATGAGTTCAGATTTCTCAAGTTGCCAATTTTTTGAGTGTGTGACTTTTCAGGGTGGGGGACTGGGATTGTCAGAAAGTACCATAAATATTTATGTAGAAAAGTGAACTAGATAGCTCATGTCCAAAAATCGAACTTCCTTTTTTAATCTAAGAAGGATTTTTAAAAGTTATTGCTTTTTGCATTTGATTCGTATTTATTTATTTAACCAAAAGTCATTATAATTTATTTTTTTTCCCACTGTTATGTCCCACTGTAAGCATTTGTTGATAAATAGCTATGTTTTAAAAAAATCTGGTGATTTAATATTTCTATAGTTTTCCTGATGCAAGTGCCATAGATATGTGATGAAATGTTGTAGTAGAGAAAACTAAAGATACTAATGCTTGAAATTATGAAAAAGGCACCTGTAATAGTGTAATAATTAAAAACTATATACAAAGTGATTCTTCCAGAATTAGATCTGAGAAAATACAGGCGTATCTCAATGACTGTTAAACCTTCATGTGTAATATAACTTACACATCTTGCTATACATTACTAGCATTATCCTGGCTTGGCCATATATGACACTTTGTGTTTACAAAAGTAACCTGGAAGTCAATGTCACTAATGACTGTACTAATGACACAAATATTGTTTTCTAATGACACAAATATTGTTTTCCGGTTCTTGTATCGTGTAGCCTTGTTGCCATCAATTTTTCTCTTTAAAGTACTCAACAGAAAAAAAAATTGGCCATCTTAAGTTAGAAAAATCTGGTGACCATTTTATAGAAAGCATCAAGGAAGCTTTTGATTTCATTTAGTCTGGTGACATTGGGACTTCATTCAACTAATAATATTAAATATATTAGTGTAAAAATTAAAGGTAAGTATCATATCCTGTTGAAATAATCAGTAAAATCACTCAAAGTGACATTGTGACTCATTCTTCTGTCTTTATGTCACATGTTCATTTGATGCAGATTGCAGTGCTTGACCTCTTTTGCAGCCTTGGGAAGAGAATATGATACTCGGTACAATTCGAGCTTAAGAAAGTGCAATTTATTTCCTCGTTGTTATAAAAACTAAAACAACCTATTTAAAATAACAATATTTATAAACTTGCTGGTAAGTTTTATTATTATTTTATTTAGTACAGTTTTATTATCAATTTAGTTTTAAGCAAAAGCATACATAAATAAACATACTGAAAAATTCTTTTTTATAGACTCTTTTTGGTGGCCATAGTTCATCAGCTGCTGCTGATAATGCCTTAAAATCAATTATAGCTTCTTTTTAAATTGATGGAAGTTTAAAAATAGTAAGCATAATAAGTATTTGGCAATGAAAACCACTATATTGACACCATGCAATTATGAACAATGAGTTAGTTAGATCCTTAACCATTTGTTTCTTGCACATTCACATATCAGTAACTTTTTGTTTGTCACCATGGCCACTACAGAAGCATAACTTTCATACCATAGCCACTACAGAAGACAAGTATCCAAATTTCATCTACTCATATTTAATAATTACAAAATATTATTTTCTGGGGCGAATACCAAAAGAATCACTATTACTTGCAATGGAAGAAAATTTTAAATAAAATTTTGATCAAATATACAGGATAGTCCAAATCTGCTTGACACATTTAAAAAATTTGTTATGAAAAAATATAAGATGTTAGGGGAGGGGAAAAAATAAATCATATAGTGCATAGGGTATATAGTGTAGGATTCCAGTATCCTAAGGCAGTGTTCCCAAAATATGTATCACAAGATAAATTTTGATGAGTAGTAAGAAGTTCTGCAGTGCTTTTCTTGTATAATATATGTAATTTCTTATATAAAATATGATTTTATACATCTGTTTGTAATTATATACAGTCAAAAGTCGTTAATTCGGACACCCATAATCCGGAATGATCTATAATCCGGACCTCAAAGCTAAAAACTTTCTGCGCATACGCCGCGTTGGCACATGCGCACAGGCGTTTAACGCGTGCGCGTAAGACCTTGACTATTGCGCATATGCGTGTGCGCAAGTGCAGAATACGTTTTCGCCTGCGCGTTTAATGTATAACGGACAGTGTAAGCTAAAATTATCTAATTATCTATTTCAGTTAATGTTAATGATTGCATTGATCCTTAATCTTCGAATTGGATCCCGCTTATTATTTTTTGCAGACTGTAAGAGCAATTTTATAAAAGTAAACTTGAACTTTCGATTATGTCAAATAGAATTTCTGATGCTGGAACTTCCAAAGGATCTACAAAACGAAAGTATGTTTCGATGTCCAACAAACAAAAAGTGGAATTGCTGCAAAAAATGGATAAAGACATGAAGAATGTGACAGAGAGGTTAGTGAAAACGAAAAAATTTCGATTGACAAGTTAGTCGGTATTCTCGGCACAGCAATTAACGGGACTTGAACAGCGGAACTTTGTAACTGAACAAGAAATTATGTCTGGTTATAGAATTAAAGAGAAAGTATTATCACATAAAATGAAGCAACTTAAACAACTTACATTGAAGAAATGTTTAATAAAGTAAACAAATAAATATTAAGCTTTTTTTTTTTTTTTGTAAATTTTGATACCCTTTAGATCATAATTGTTCTTTATTTCATAAATTACGGTTTCATATTTTTAATTTTAGAATTTCTGCATGCCATCTTACGAGATTTAAACTGATGATCTATAATCCAGAAAAATCGATAATCCGGAATCGCCGAAGTCCCGACGAGTCCGGATTAACGACTTTTGACTGTATTAATTATTGATAGTTATGTACATTTTTATTACTACTTCTTTATTATATTATTTTCTTCTAAGAATCTCATTTCTCCCTCTTTTTACTTCCTTGTATGAAGTAAAAAGGAAGTATTGTAATCGCAAAAAGTTTCAGGCAGCATATTTCAACACAAATATCCATTTTGACCGCTATCAAATGCAATTTAACGATGTGTTTGCGTGATATCTGTACGTAAGGACAGAATAAAAGACTCGTTTCCTCCCCAAAAATTATAAAACTGCTTTAAAATTAATTCTGAAGAGAATTTTTCATGGCGTCTGTATGAACGTATGTACGTATATATGTACGTATCTCGCATAACTAAAAAACGAGTAGCCTCAGAACGTTGAAATTTTGTATATAGGACTGCTATAACGTGTAGATGTGCACCTCGTAGTTTGGTTGCAATTGGCCGCACCAAACTTATATAAATATATATATCCTCTCTATTACCCGGCTCAGTGATCTCAGTTTCTTTACTCGTATATGTTTGTAAATTGTACATTTTTTGCTTTAAAAATGATTGAATTATGTTGTTTTTATCTTCCGGTTAAGGTTTTTATGCCTTTAGTAAATCTCTATGCAATATTTTTAGAATTATCAACAGTTTTAAAGTTGTTTAAGTGCTGCCCCCTTTTTTTTTTTTTTTTTTTTTTTTTTTTTTTTTTTTTTTTTTTTTTTTTTTTTTTTTTTTTTTTATGGTGGCCATTGATTGTTTACATTTGAAACAGCAGACTAGTGGATTTGTTGCCAATCTAGAGAAACTTAGCTTCGCAACAACAAAGATAACGCCTTCATTTATTATTGCCAATTAAATCATGCTTAATCCTTTCTGGAATTTTTTCAAGGAAATAAGTGTTTAAGATTTACTTCATAATTTTTAATATAGAAATTTTGAGTTTTTATGTATTTTTGCCTTCTCGAGAAGTGAGAACTGAATTAATTGAATGAGAAATACTCAATCGTCTGTGAAAAACTGTTTCTTTTTTGTTTTGTTTGCTTAATTTCTTTTATACATCATTCTAGTTTTATTATAGTATTTGAATAGAACATGTGGCAACAATTACATAATTCTTTTCTTTAAATGATATAAATTTTGTGCATTATTATGAGTTATAATATGAACGAAATATAATACTGTTAAGTGAATCTAGCGCCAGAGTGTCGCTATGGTAAACAAATACTAGAGTGAATTTTAAAGAATGCATTTATTCTATTGTGGTTTATGCGCTGTCAGTGAAGTAGATTTAATTCAATCCAATAAGTTTAAATGAAATGCATGAAAAAATGCGTATAATTTAATATTCCGTACAAGGAAGTCATGTGGTGTACACATCAGATTTTTTTAACATGTGATGGGGGATGCTATAGTGGCCTAAGGCATGTAGGATATTATTTGATGGAGAAATTAATGAAGTCAACACTATTGCTAAAGCAATGCTTTGACAAATGATCAAAAATATGAAATGACATGTTCAGGTGCACCTTTAAGGAAAGGGGATGGACATTTTCAATGTATATTGTATAAAGATTAAGGATTTTCTGAAGTACATGTTTGCGATGTAATAAATCATTGCTAGCTTTATTCTTGTTAAGTTGAATAGATCATAGAAAAGACCAGTGTTGTGTGAATCACCATGTAATATTATACTGTGTATATGCATACTTACATATATACCATCGTATACATATGAACTTTTGCAGGTGCCAAAAGCTATTCAAATCATTAAGAGATGATTATCGAAAACGTGCCCCTTATATTGCTTACTTAGTTAGATGTCGTCAAGGCCTATTATCAACATTATCTCATCTGGAAACTTTAACAGAGAGAGTTGAAAGGTGATTTTTTTTTCATTTTAAATATTTTGTCATTTTACCATGTTTCATATATTTTTCACATTTAATATAACTATGTTAAGTTAAAAATGTGACTAAAAGTTCAACTTAACAGTAAAATTCTAATTTGCATATATTATTTGATCACAACTAATATTACCTTAATGGGCATTCTGCCAGAAAATTCTTAATGGGAAATATAATATTAGAAAATTATGTATACAAAAACAAAAGACCAATATATTTAAATAAATATGATGGTAATTGTACAGAATAGTTTCCTATTATACGCAGAAAGATTAGGAGTATAACATTAAGTATCTGCCTGTATATATAATGCTAAATTGTAGATAATAGATTTTATAGTTTTAAATTTATATGAAATCTACTAAAAATAAGGAGTTGAAAATAATATTAAATATATTAGTGTAAAAATTAAAGGTAAGTAGCATATCCTGTTGAAATAATCAGTAAAATTGAAGTGTATTATCATGTTAAAGAAATAATAAAAATATATTAATTATGATAATCTGTATAAATCCTGCTTTACAATTCGGATACCTTAATTAATCTTTTCCTTTTTAATACCATATTTACTCATGGTTTGTTTACCGGTTGAATTTTTCCAATATATGATGTAAATATTTTTGTTTTTAGTCGGTGGTTGAATAGAAAAGCGTAAGATGGAAGTAAAAGGAATACTATTGAAGGCATTAACTTTGAGTGATTTCTCTGAAATGTGTAGTACATTAATTTTTAGTACAGCTGTTCATATGAGCATTTTAAAATGCTGATTTTTTCCTTTAACTCATAGCCACCACAAGAAATCGGTATACCATGTAAATTTCTCTTTGTCGACTTTTGAGCACAAAAATTGAATAAAATAATGAGAGAAGAATATGCAAATAAGTATCGTATTCTGAGCCAGGCAGTACATATAAATATCATAAAAATATGCAATAAATAGATGCTTTATACTTTAGTTGTCTTAAATCTTAATGTTGTAAAAAGAGAACTGGCTCCTATTTATAATTTATGTTACCTGTGACTAAGACAATGGAAATGCAAATGTAGCCAAGCAAGTGTAATGGGTATAGAAACAAAATTGAACTAGTGGATTTATTAGGTAGGTTCATTTAGGTTGGAGATCTCTCATAATCCCCTACATTTTATAATTTTTTCATGCTGCTATGTTTCTGGTTTACATTATTTGTACTTTTATTGTAAATATTATAGAATGTAAAGAATGAATATTTGTTGAAACTTTAAATAAATATGGAAATTTTATATTTTTCTGTTTTGCTAGAAAATAAAAATGCAATTTGGATGTAATGTATTCTTCTCGTTTTGAACAGAGGAATAATTTACAGTTTAAAATTTACAGAGATAAACAAGTTTGTGCACAGTATTTGGTGATGACATGTGTGAGAATATTCCTTGAGAAGCATGATCGTTATTTGCAGCATTTTGTGAGAAAATTTCAAGAACTTGTGGTAGCTGATGAAAAGGTACATTTTATGTGAAAGTTCTTGATTTCTTATTAAAAACTGTAAATAAAGTATTAAAAATTTTCTGCAGAATATGATGAGATTTTTGGTGGTAAGAAAGGCTTGCCATAATCTAGTTTACTTTCTGGGCAATATTAATTTTCCAATTCAAATTTTGTACTTCTTTTCGTCATCTGCATTTTATTTGATTGGTTTAATGTGCTGTGTTGTAATCTAATAATTAGTGCCTTTCATTTTATAGTAAATATAGATGTCGCTTTTAGCTGTGAATATATATATGTTATTGTGAAACACTGAAATCTGGAGAATGTCGACTTTCACCGGTGAATGTTAACATTTGCATAGTCTCTTGGTGTATGTCCGAAATATTTTCCAAATACTCTTATTTCTGACTTACACCGGTCAATGTTGAACATATAACAATATTATATTTTCTTCTCTGTAATTCAGTCGCAAATAAACGCACTTGAGACTTGAAATAAGAACTTGAGAACCTAAAACACACAATGCATTCAAAATGAGAAAGAAAAATAATAGAAGTTAAAAACTTACTTAATTATACAGTACGTTCTAAATGAGAAAATAAAATAACAGTTATAAAAAACTTAACTATATGTGATTCAAATCTTATTTATTGCAACAACTTAAACTATTTATGGCACTTTATGACCTCCTCTTTTCGACTTTCGACTTTCAACACGAGCAATTTTGTGATTGTCGACATACACCGGTGAGGTTCCGAATATACAAGAATGTAGTGAAATATTGGATCTTTCACCGACGTATTTGGTGAATGTTGATATTCTCTGGTGAAAGTCGACATTCTCCAATTTGGGTCTTTCACGGTAACACATAGGATGATTTATTACCATGTGTGCAAATTTCTGGGAGGGTTAAGTTACTCAAAGATGAATCAGGATCAGATAACAGTGCAGGTCTTCATGTACTTAGATGCATATCTGCTAATCCTGCATTTGCAAAATTTTCCATTCTGCTACTTCTGTGGATGGTTGTCAAACAACAATTTTCCTAATGAAGGTGTTTTACCAATTTTACGAATAACTCTCTATCTCTCGCATTGCGATTGCATTTCCAACCGGGCATTACTATCTGATCCTGATTTGTCTTTGAGTAACCTCTCTTTTGCAGGGTTACTCGAAGACAAATTTGCTACCAAGTGAGGTTTTTGCACATGGTAGCAAATTACTCTGTATTTATTCAAATTTGTGTTATCATATGTTTTTCATTCAATTACACAACTAAAGAATAGGCAAATAATAAACTGTCATTTGTATGTGTTGGCTAGTAATGTTACAATGTATTTTGTTATGCCATTATACAGTCAAAAGTCGTTAATTCGGACACCCATAATCCGGAATGATCTATAATCCGGACCTCAAAGCTACAAACTTTCTGCGCATGCGTCGCGTTCACGCATGCGCACAGGCGTTTACGAGAGCGCATAAGACCCTTACAGCTGCGGATATGTTTGTGCGCATGCGCGTTTAATGTGTAACGGAGTTATACGCTAAGCTAAAGTTATCTAATTCAGTTAATGTTGCAGATTGCGTTGTTCCTTAATCTTCGAATTGGATCCGGCTTATTATTTTTTGCAGACTGTTAGAGCAATTTTATAAAAGTAAGCTTGAACTTTCGATTATGTCAAATAGAATTTCCGATATATATTTACTACAAAGCGAAAGTATGTTTTGAAATCCGAAATCTGTTTATCAATTTCACGCTGCTCTGTGGCAGATGGGGGGGGGCAGAAACGTCATTATTAGATTATGATAGATTAGAAAGATTATGTCAAATAGAATTTCCGATATATATTTACTAATATGTAATTTGTATCTACAAAGCGAAAGTATGTTTTGAAATCCGAAATCTGTTTATCAATTTCACGCTGCGCTGGGGATTGGAAGTTGATCTGTCAGCACTATCCTTATCTTCAGAGCAGATGTTTTTATTTTATTTGGTTTATAATTCCGTACTAAGTGTAGTATTTCATCTCGATATACTCGTCTTTGATATGATTTAAATCAAGTTCCTCCTCATTATAATTCGCTTCCGATAGTGAAGAAAGTGACCCAGAGGTTATTGAAAACGAAAACATTTCGATTGACAAATTAGTCGGTATTCTCAACACAGCAATTATAGGACTTGAACAGCAGAACTTTGTAACTAAATAAGAAATTATGTCTGTTTAATAGAATTAAAGAGAAAGTATTATCACATGAAAACGAAGCAACTTACATTGAAGGAAATGTTTTAATAAAGTAAACAAATAAATATTAAGCTTTTTCTTTTTGTAAATTTTGATACCCTTTAGATCATAATTGTTCTTTATTTCATAAATTACGGTTTCATATTTTTAATTTTGTAATTTCTGCATGCCATCTTACCAGATTTAAACTGATGATCTATAATCCGTAAAAATCGATAATCCGGAATCGCCAAAGTCCCGACGAGTCCGGATTAACGACTTTTGACTGTATTTGTTATATTAGTATTACAAAAAAATTTAATCAAAATATCAAAACTGATTGAAGAACGGAAATTAAAATTTGCAAAAAAATGGATATCAAGGCGTATAGCTTCAAAAGCAAATACTATTAGATTATATAAAGCAGCGGTTCTCAACCTTTTGACTAACGAGCACCATCTAAACAAAAATGTATTACATTTATTCAGTCAAAATGACCCTACAATAATACGAGAAATAAGATGCATAATTTAAGATGTCTGCTGTTATATTCCTAGTAAATATTAAATCTGTAAATGAATTGCCAAGGGATGTCTATATTGAAATCCCCATTATTATAATAATAGAAACATCTCTGTCTACAGTAAATTCTTCATCAAACAATAAAGTAAAATATTTCATCAGTGCTCTAAACAAGAGCATCTTCTTCTGAATTAATAGTTAGATGAATATATACGGATGCTAGAATAAGTCTTAGATTGTCCATTAACAATTGCATCAACCATACAAATATCGCCTGCTTCTGAATCCTATATTATCTTACATTGCTTAACGGTCAATTCTCTTGGTTTGCAATCTACTACACTTGTCATATTTCTATAAATTGAACACCAAAACTTGCCGAAATAAAATAATATAATATATAGCAAACACCACCTGAACACACTGAGTGTTTACACATGACCTTGCCACTCACATATCACGCATAGGCTTGGAGCTTTGACTTCCACAAACTTTCGCTATTTTTGGCACATTAGTATGCATATACCCTTTCCCAATTAAAAATTTTTTGTGTGTGTATACTACTCTTGTTCTCTTTCATATATCTAATGATGTATTAGTTAGATTGATTGTAACATTTGTAGTGCCAGAAGTATAAGCATACTTGCACATCTCAAATTTTCTTTCCCATCAAACCATTATGGAGGAACTAAATTCTTCATTAAAAATTTAGTATTTTCATTATTCTGTTTTTTATTTCTGCATATGTATGTAGTGTGATTGCAAGTCTTTTTGACATGAAAATGGTTATAAGTAACTAATACTTGAACATAAAAATTTAAGAATATTGCTGACAGAAATAGTTACAATTAACTGAAAAATTACCATTATCACATTGAACTCAGATGTCTCACTGATTCACAATTTTTCAGTATTTTTTATTTTGTGTAACCCCGTTTTTTGTTGCTTTGTTTAGTAAACTTTAAATCTTAGTATTATTATATTATTTTATGTAAAGTAACTTTACAGATTGAAAGCTAAGATTTGCAAACATACAGATTTTGATATTACTTATCACCTAACCACAAGCTGTGCTCAAGTACTGCACTGAGAAAAAAAAAACGTAAATAAAAGAAAAGAAAAACTTGTGTGTTTACAAATTATAAAAAATAATCAATTAGAAAAAACTTATTTCTACATGGACACTTTGATGTAATTTCAAGCATAAATTTTATTGTTAAATGTGCAAATTTCATTTATTTGAAAAAATTATTTAATATGCTAATGGAGTACTACATATAGTTTCTTTTAAATAATTTTGAGATTTAATTATTTGTGTATATTTTTTTAAGCTTCTCAGATGCTAAGAATTAAGGTTTGAACTAGTTTTAAGTTTTTACTTTTATATTTTAATTTAATATTTTACCTTTTATAGGCTATCTTAGTTGAAAACTTTTTGAATCTTCTCTTCAGCTATGTACAAAATGATCCTATGTGGCAGAGTAAGTTTTCTCTAAACGTTAATTATTTTAATGGTACATGCAGAGATTCTGTAAACATAATGTTAATATTTAGGTAATTAAAGTATTCAGTATTCCTGTCATATATTGTCATCTGCAGTAATACATTTATTTAAGAATTATACTACCCAGGATTTCAGCCAGTGGCAAAAATTTTTTGACTCTCCAATTCTTGATTATTTATCAAGTTTTAACAGGGACTAAATAGTTGAACTGGGAAATAAACATAGTAACAGCATGTTTCTACATTATAACAGAAAGGAATAGATTAAACATAATGGCAAATGAAAGTTATCTTTCTTATAAATTCTTGACGTGATTGCTTTTATGAAAAGCCACCCAGTCGGCTAGTCGACTACCCACCACTAGTCCGCTATACCACGTATAGTGGTTAGGAGAGTCAACTGTGATACCGAAGGGCCCGGGTTCGAACTATGTTAACTGTGGTTCTCACTCTGGTAGACCTGGGAAAGCACAGTAAGTATGCCAAATTGAATTGCAAGAGGGAAATTTGCCATGATGTTGTGTTGGAAAGAACGTTTCTCTATCACGAAAAGTATGAACCTTTCTCTTTTCTTAATCTCAAACATGTTATCATATTCGTTTTGCTATGATGAAGTAGTAATTTAAAATCCTAGAGACCATTGATTGACCTTTTATTATTCACCAGTCCTTATATAGCCTTTATTTTCACAACTTCACTTTTTTCAATTTAGACATATACTTTCAGTTACAAAAATGTTTTTAATGCTGCAAATGTTCTTATCTTGGCACTTTTTAATTTTGAATATTAATTTTGTAAAAATTAGAAAATTTGTCCTTTGATCCATATAGTTAAATTTAGGTAAAATACATGTTCATTTTAAAAAGTAAAACACAAAAAGTTTGACACTTCTACAAAAATTAACAAAGATATTTAATTTCAAAATTCAGAATTTTTAACATAATTTATAACTGGTTTTGCGGGGTCCATTGAAACAATTAATTGGAATAATTCAAGGTTGATTTTTTTTTTCTCTGATGTCATTTAGTGGTATTCTTGTATGATTTACAGTAATATTCTTTTAAATTATTTTGTTATGTATGGTATGCCAAAAGAATATTCACACAAGTGATTTCCAAGTTTTTATATGCTAAAAATACGTTTTTATTACTTTATGGTCATAAAGGTCATATAAAAATGTCATGAAACTAGACATATGTTCCATTTTGAGTTTATGCTAATAATGTAACAAGTTGGGGGTGCCAGTGTTGAAGCCTGATATTGTTTTCAAACATTAAATCTATAAGATTTTATGAATAAGATCTCTTTTGTGAGAAAATAAATATTGATTAACAATTTTCGCAATAATCTGCATAAAAGTGTTTATCACTTAATCTGTTAATATCAGAAACATTTTTGTAAACTGATGTTTCATTAACAGTTAGGTAACTGAAGCCATTTGATTTTTCAGTTTGTTTACAATCTCTGAATATCATTTCAAACTTTAAATTATATACCTTGGACAGCTTTTGTGAGTGAGAGTTGAATTTTTTGTGATTTTCTAAATTTAAGCAAAAGGTTTGGCGTTATTGTAGGGAAGTGGGAGAAATACCTTATAAATTGTGCAATGCTTTTAAATTTTTAATCCATTCTGTCGCCAGTTTGGCATGCTATGGCTAGCTAATGAATCACAATTAACTCAGTATAATTTACTTTCATTGGCTTTGCTATTTTTTGCCTTTTTGTTCTGTTGCATATTCATATATTTGTTGCTTTATTTTTGAGTATTTCTCCAACTGAAAATTCTAAATGTTTTTTTGTGAACTGAATTTGCCTTTTTCTACAGCATCAGTTATTTTAATGTTATCTTTGAACATTAATCATTTGCTTCTAGATGCCATATCAAATAAGTTGTGAATCATACAACCTAGACATATGATTATTTTCTTGTATATTAATAAAAAGCAGAGATTGTATTATCCACATTCTGTGTCATGTGATTTTTTTATAAAGACAGACTGGAACTTCAGTAGAAATTGCATAAGAATGCAAAAAGACTATCTTTGTAAGAATTTTGTTTTACAAAATGTAGAGAAAATGTTGGAATTGCATAAGAATGCAAAAAGACTATCTTTGTAAGAATTTCGTTTTACAGTATGTAGAGAAAATGTTGGTGATTCATCCTTGCAATACTTGCACCACTTTCATTTAAAGCTTATTTAGTGATTCAAATTTCTTTCATTCTCCTGATTTTTGCACTTTCTCTTTCAAACAAATGCATCATAAAGAAATAATTCTCTGCCCACTTCTGAAAAATGCTGATTTCAAAGAGGTCAACATTTCCTTGTTCCTCTATTAGAAAAATCAGTTATCAGAGGTTTAAGCTACTTGATGTCCTGTCTTATGGTAAGTGCTGACTTATGATCTTCAGATCTTATTCTTAAGATCTGGAGATTCTTGGAAGAATTCATATCAGAAAGATTAGTTATCAGAGGCTGAAGCTATTTGATGTCCTGTCTTATGGTAAGTGCTGACTTAATGTGATCTCCAGACCTTATTCTTAAGGTCTGGAGATTCTTGGAAGAATTCATATCAGAAAGATTAGTTATCAGAGGTTGAAGCTAACTGATGTCCTGTCTTATGGTAGGTACTGATTTAATATGATCTCCAGACTTTATTCTTAAGATCTGGATATTTTTGGGAGAATTCATACTTTCATTATGATTCTCATTTTGTGATCCATTAGGTTTTTCCTTCTTTTTTAATCTTTTATTTTTCTGAATTTTGTACTTTGTCTTCAGAATGAACACACTTTAAGTAGAGATATCTTTTCTTTTTAATTTTTAATGTAAATGGTCAGTCTATAAGAAAATTTTAAAACTGCATTTTTCCCTTTTCCAGGAAATGAACATTAATATCTCATTTCAGTACTCATATTTCAAGAATTGTCCATTAAAAAGGGAAAACTTTTAATGAACACCACTAAAAAGGGTTGTGTATGAACATAGGTTTAACTGCATTTTTATTGCAGTAATCTGCATTGAGATGACATTTTTTAAAATTACTTAGTAAGCATTACTTTCTTTTTGTTGTTGTTGCTCCCACATTCCTAACTCCCCACTAGCTGAGTGGCTGAAAATGTAAAGCAGTAGTTCCTCCAACATTATTTTCTTGTACTTGAATTGATTGCTTTCATAGTTTTCTGTGTGTGTAATGTGGATATAAACCAATTTTCATATATTTTGTGTGAAACAATTCTTGCTGTTAGACTGAGAGTCTTCATATTGTTGTCATAATCAAATAATTCAATCCTCCAGTTTCTTTGATTAAGGTACAGTAAACCTGTTTTATTATTATTAATATAGTTTTCTTCATTTAAATAGTACTGGTGTACTATAAACTATTATTTTTTTCATGTAATATTTTTTTTAATTCTCAGCTGCAATATATATATATATATATATAATGAAATAGTAAGCCAAATCATGCATTTATCTCTATCTTCCTTTTGAAATTTTGAAAAATATTATGTTAATTCTATTGCTTTAATTTTATAAACATTTTCAGAAAACTCTTAGCAAACTTATTTTTGTGTAAGAAGTTCTTTGTGTATAATAAAAATTATCTCTTGGGTTCTTAGCTGCAAATGAAATTCAAATAGAGCAGGCTAAAGCTGTTATTGAGCATTCAGTCATGAGCAAAATATATACTTTCGCTCTTCATCCAAATGGAGATGGTGATGTCTTGCGAGATAAGTAAGTTTTTCTTTACAAGTTTTTGTTGCATTATGTGTAATAAATAAGATTGTCAAGAAATATAGTGGTTTTTTTTGTTTTTTTTGTGTGTGTGTGTGTGTGTGTGTGTGTGTGGGAATATGTTTTGCATTTTGGGAAGAAGGGTTCTGCATATATATCTGCATTTCATAAAAATGACAGTTTTTAATGTAAAATTAATATTTTGTAATATTTTAAAACAATTTATATAGAGAGAGATGTAATACACTGTTATTATTGCTTGGCTGATTGCTTCAGAACTTAATCTAATTGGGTAAATTATACCGTATCACTACTTAAAGTTGAAATGCTTCCGGTTTTACACTTCACATTGGACAGAAGCCAACAGTTTTGAATTTGATAGCTACTACATAAAGCCAAAATACAAATGACTGTGCCCCAGTTGCTGAGCTGAAAGGAGATTTAAGTGGCAAATTGTTATAAAGGCATTTTAAAAAAAATTCTATATTAGTTATTTGAAGAAATATTTATTTCTCTTATTCTTCTTCAAACAATTAAACTTATTGATACTTTGTATTTTAATACAAACAGGTGACTGAAAGAGCATCAGAAATGGGAACTGAACAATTTATACCAAGAATAATAGGGGGGAAGAAGGGAAATTAATTAGTATTGGAAAAGAAAGTAACGAGGAATTGAATTAAAATATCTAGAGTTGTAAAAATTACTTTTGATTGCACTTTATATTGTCATTACTATGGCAGAAGCCATAAACCTTCATTCTGTATGGCTTTCCACTTTGATTTCCTATGTCGCAGTTCAGTGCCGAAAGGGAGAGATTCATGTTCTGTGAGTTGAATACGTGGAAAGTTTTGTTTAAAATCAAGAATTTGATTTTTATCAAAACTGAATGTGTGCTAAATTTTTAAATATTTTATAAACTGATATTACAATTGTATTGCACATGGAAGCATTTTTACATGTTCATTTGATATATGTATATTAAAATTAGTGAGCATTTCATTTTATATGAGTAGAAATTCTCTATTACACATATATAATTTAATTTTTATTTTTTTTATAATTTATGGTGCTTTGCACAGTGAGCTGAGATTTTTTTTTTTTTTTGCTATGATATTGTTGCAAGAGATCTTGAGTTAGAGAAGATTAGATTTCATATCTACAAACTTTTGCAAAACTTAATTAATCTATGAATACTCTTCTAATTTTATTTGTTTACTTGCAAAATAAACTTTTTGTAAAGATGCTGGAAATTGTTTTCTTTTCATTTTTCAATTCAATGAAATTCATTTCAATTAAAATTCTTCATTTTTGATTATTTCTGATTTAATGAAAGCGAATGTGATCATATCAACTCAGATTGCAGACTGATTGCCATGTCTTATCAACCTGCAAGGCAACCTTCTCATACAAAACTTTTCTCATTCATACGGAATTTTTGGAAAAGAGTCTACTTCGCATGCATTCTTCCCATTGCTTTTGTAGCTTGTGTCTGAAAGTACTATTAATGGTGCGATCCAGTGGCTGTAAAATTTTGTAAGCCCAACTGGTATCACTGACACATTGGCACTAAGTTTTTTTTCTTTGGATTTTATGTAGCGTATTCGGAAACTAAGTACCGTTTCATTCTAGCGCTGTGGTAGGCGCCCCGCGCATGCGCACTAGTCTTTCTTGTTCACTGACTTTCAATTGTCGCCATTTGGGTTGCTCTATGTTGTGTTTTCAGTTTGCTGTGCACATTCAAAATGTTTAAGACAATTAGTTCTTCCGCTGACTGTGAGATTTGTGCTGTTATTAAATTTTTGAACACGAGGAATGTTAAACTGGCCGAAATTTATCGTCAAGTGACAGAAGTTTACGGTGAATGCGCGATAAGTGATGGAATGGTGAGAAAGTGGGTAGAATGTTTAATGCAGGTCGAACAAATGTCACGCTGAGGCGGAGTGGTCGCTTCTGTTGTCACCGATGATTTGGTAAGGAAGCTGATGAAGCAATTCATGAGAACAGACGCTTCACAATGACAACTCTTTCAGAGGCATTCCACAAATTTCACGTACTGTTTGTTCGAAATTGTGTCTGACCGCTGCTTGAATTATCGCAACCGTGTTCCTCCCGATGGGTTCAAAAATGCCACTGATTCACAAAACAAAGCGACTTGGTGTGCCCTGACATTTCTCACGCGGTACAGTGATGAGGGAGTAAACGTTTTAAACCAAATTGTGACATGTGATGAAACTTGGGTGTGTCATTTTACACCAGAATTGAAACAACAATCGATGGAGTGGAGACACACTCATTCGCCGAAAAAACAAAACTTCAAAGTGACAATGTCATCACAAAAAATCGTGCACTGTCTTCTGGGATAGGAAAGGTGTTTTGCGTACTGAATTTCTTCCCAGAGGTGAAACCATTAATGCGGCACGATATTGTGAGACTTTAACAAAACTAAGGCATGCTATTCAAAACAAATGAAGAGGAATTCTCAGTAAAGGAATGGTGTTGCTTCATGACAATGCTCGTCCCTATACTGCTGGTGTCACTCAATCGTTAATTCGACAGTTTCATTGAGAGCAGCTCGATCACCCGCCGTACAGCCCAGACTTGGCGCCATCCGACTATCACTTGTTCCTGCACATGAAGCGCGAGCTTGGTGGCAAGCGCTTTGGATCTGACGATGACACGAAAAATGCTGTGGAGTCGTGGTTATCGAAACTGACGGGAAGTTTCTTTGACGACGGTATACAAAAACTGGTCACCCGCTATGACAAGTGTTTGATCATTGGCGGAAACTATGTTGAAAAATAGTTTAAGACATGTATTTTCATGTAAAAATAAAATTGGATTCAAAAAAAGTGTTTTACTTTTTTTTTTTTTTTTTCCCCAAGACAGTACTTAGTTTTCGAATACGCCTCGTACTAAATGGGATCGCATCATTTATAACGATGAATCTCTGAGGTTGGAAAGAAGCACCTTTTCTTTTTAGGTAAATTTTTCTATGCCTAAACAGCATGACTTCTTTACATATCCATCCTTTCTTGTTGGTGCAAATATTCCCTTTAGGGAAGTTTTCTTTCGGAACTGTTTTTCTTTTGGAAATTATCAAATGGGTTAACTTCTCTCCATTGGCAGTGCAGTCTAAAACACAAATAGAAGTTTTTCACTCCTAGTAGTTAACACTAAAATAGTTTTTTCACCTGTTGAGTGAAGAAATGGGCACTGCATTCTTATTAATTATTTGACCTCTATTCAAATTGTGTTCTTTAATTTTCTTAGATGGGTATTCCAAAAAATATTATCTTTTTTTCAAGCCAGTTCATGGGAAGCTTCTATCCAACTGTTGTTTTGGTCCTGACAGATAATGTTTTTTGCTTCATCAACCAGAAGCCTGAACTTGATTAGGTCCTCCAACAAAGTTTTTAGTGCCCATTCGTTGAGCAATTACTTTTCATTGAAGGCAGATTCTACTTGTTGACACTGATAGTCCCTTTTCTCCATTCTGTATTGTCCATTTCTCTAAATTATCTTTCAAAACCGGTCGTGCTATGATACGAGTCCAACAAGATCTTTTATTCTCAAGCATTTTCTCAAACTTTTCTTGTTCGGACTTCCACCAACAAATATATCTCTCATCAATTTGAAATTCTCAATCCATAGCCTGATTTCCAATTTCTGTTGCTTTCTTCACTGCCAAAAGCTCAAGTAGCTATATAACTTTTTCTTGGAGTAGGAACTAATAATAATTTTTAAAGATTAACAACACGAACAAAAAGGTAAGCGCTGCAGTAAGTGAGCAATAAGCTCCAAGGCAGTGAGACATGTAAGATTTAATACAGAACTTGGTGAAATAAAAGTTCATGTGTCTGTTGAAAAGAAGACATGGTCATCAGAAGTATAGATAAAACCAAGTTCTGCTAAATGTGCAGACATTGCAGTGTCTTTACACTGAGCACACCCTATTGTAGCTCCACATGAGTTCAAACTTACTGCACAACTTTAGTGCAACCTGAGTGCACATATGAGGCCAAAATGTTGCAGTGAATTCTGCATTAATCATTTCAGTTGTGCATAACTTACAATCTAAATTAGCAAAGTTTTAAAGACTTAGGAAAAATAAAATTCTTTCAGATACACCACAGCCCAAAATTTTTAACTTTCCAACACATCTTAACCACAGCTTATTTACCCAAAATTATGATAGTTAGAAAATTATTTCACATTCGGCTTACAACAGAATTTGAATAATGCAATTCTATTCACAAATGTCACCTTGAACTCATTTTGACACTTTGTGGCTATCTCGAACTTGTTTAATATACCATCATTCATTGACTAGTGATTCTCTCAGCTGGTTTTAAATAGTATTGCATTTCTATAAAGTGATGGCAGACCATTCTTATACATAATGTTTCTTGATGTAGTTTGTTTTCATTTATAACATATCTTAATTTAAAGTGAGGAAAGCAATAGCATAACTTCAAACTACTTTTAGTCAATTATCACTTTTTTGTAATTTGTTCCTTAGTTTTCCAGCATATTTATTACTATATTTAGAAAGATGTTATAATGAAATGAGTATTTTTAATACACTTCAGATTACAGTTTTAATATTTTATGTGTATTGTTTTTGTTAGAAGTGCATTACATGTAAAAGGCATTATCTTATAATTTGAGGTGTATTATTAGATATTAGATTGATAGGTATTATTAATGAAAAAAACTGGTTGAATAATCCATTTTATTATCTGTGTACAGAAATATGTGTGTGTATATTTTAAAAATTTGTTTATTAAAGTAATTTTCAAATGTTCTTATTCATAGGGTTCTCCATGAGCATATGCAGAAATTATCACAAGTTATTACACCCAATCATAAGGACTTGAGAATACCAAAGGTACAATTATTATTTATAAATTTGCTTTTTTCACATAAATTTATATATTAATAATTGTGTGTTTATGAAATATATATGTTAAAAGTTAAATGTATTGTGGTGTAGTGTTAATGCTTCAACGGTGTGGTGTTGAACTCCAATGAAAACGCTAATGATGGAACACCACATGAAAATTTTATTGAACACCCAAAAAATGGCTACATACAATCAACAAGAGAAAAACCTAAATCTATTTCTTAAAATCAAATTCTATGCATTTTACGTGCGAGAGCAATACGGGGCTCTCGAGTTTGCATTTTTAACATTGCCAACAATTTAATTATTTTAATAACAACTATTTGAACAACTCTTGAAAACGTACTTGGAAGCTAAATAATAATAATTTTCATCTTATGCTCACGAGACATCCTTGTCCGTTTTAATCTGCAGTTTCTTCTTTCTTTATGCGACCTTATCACAACTCCTCCCCTCATAAAGGAATTTTTCTTGACTATGGAAAGGAAAAATTCTAAATACATTTCACTGCTTTTCAAAACACAAGTGGTAACCATTTAAGTGATAATAGAGAAAGCCAGTTACATTACCCTGCACTTATTTCTAGATAACATAACCGCACAAATACAACAAAAATAATTTTTTAAACTACTCCTAATGTCTGCCTCATACAAAGTACATTCCACAAATTTTAAAAAATGCTAATACTTAAGAAAAAACATTTAATTCTAACAATTTTTTTGAAAATGAAACACACAATGCAAACAATTTTGAATCTACACAAATATAATTCCAAAACTCTACAAAAATCATTTTCAACCATTTTCATTAATTTTTACCTTACTTTGTATCCACTAGTGATATTCAGTCACTAGACTAGGGCATGACTCAAGCCATCTGCATTACCGTGTAATTTGCCTGGCCTATAAACAATTTTAAAGTTGTACTGTTGGAGACACAATGCTCCGTGAGTCAAAGAGAATTTGATTCCATCATTTTGCTTAAAAAAGTCAACAGATTATGATCCATCTGGATCTTGAATTTTTGTCCGTCTGAATAATGATTTAGTTTCTTCAGGCCGTAAATAATGGCTGCTAGTTATCTTTCAGTGGTGCTATAATTTCGCTCCGCTTTAGTAAACTTTTTGCTAAGATACAGTATAAGATGTTCCTCCCCATCCTAAATTTGAGACAACACAATGCCTGCACTATATAAGCTGGCATCTTGTCTGCACAAATAAATTCTTTAGAATAATCTGGTTGCAAATAAAACCGGACTTTTTACTAGTTTGGTCTTCAGTTTATTGAAAGCCTCGTCGCACTCTTTTGTCCAAATCACTTTTTCTTTTTGTTTTCCCCCTTCAAAGCGTCTGTCAAAGGGTGCCGCAATACGGATAGTCTTTATTGTACCTTGCATAGTAGCCCACAGTACAAGGTAGCCACAGTATAGCTACGTACCTGTGTTTTAGTAGTGGGGATCGGAAAATCTCTTGATTGCTTGAATCTTGGCCTCACTAGGCGACCTTTTCCCAGACCCTACTTCACGACCCAGAAATTTCACATGGTCTTGTGCAAATTTGCATTTCAAGGGCTTAAGTCAATTTAGCCTCCTGAAGGCGGCCTAAAACTACATCAAATACTTCATATGCCTGTCCCAAGTCAGCGAAAAGACTGCGATGTCGTCAATATATGGTAGAACAAAACTGTCCAGCCCTCTTAAAACTCAAGCGATCAATTTACAAAAATAGAAAGGCTCATATAAAAGCCCAAACATCATTTTCTTTGGAATGAAAAATCCAAAAGGCATCACAAATGTGGCATACCTCTGTGCACGCTCTGTGAGTGGTATCTGGAAGTATCCTTTGGTTAGATCCATGATTGTAATAAATGGAGCTGCGCTGACTTTTTCTACCACTTTTTCAATATTGGGAAGAGGGAAAAATTCGGTCATAATTTTTTAATTAAATTTTCTGTAGTCTGTACAAGGACGGGAATCTTTTCCTGGGACCTCTACTAAGATCATAGGTGAAGCATAATCAGATTGCCCGACTTCTATGACTCCTAACTCAAGCAACCACCTAATTTCCTCTTTTAGGATGTTGGTTTGCCTCGCCGACATTCGGTAAGGCCTGACTCTAACCGGAGTCTCATCAAACAATTTAATATCCATTTCCACCAAAAACGTACAGCCGGGGTCGGACGAAAACATCGCTGCATACTTCCCTATAACTTCCTGGAATTTTCCTATTTCCTCTGCTGAAGCTCTTTCTTCTAGCTTCTATCTCCAACTATTTTCCAAGCATCTACTTGAGTTGGATCAGCCAAGGAATAAGGAATATCCACTTCTCCCTCAATATCTTCCATGAACTCCTCCATCACAAGATTCACAAACTCAGGGCGCTGATAATAAGGGTTCATCAAATTTACGTGATAAATGGTGTCACTGCTACACTTACCCGGAATCTCTGCTGTATAATTGGTTTCGGAAATCACACTAGTTACTTTATCTGGTTCTATCCAGTTTACAGCCATTTCGTGTGTTTTAGACGTGGCTAAAACAAGCACGAGATCTCCGACCTTAAACCTTCATGCAACAGCATTGCGATCATACCAGAGTTTCCTTTTACTCTGACACTCTTTCATCTTCTCTACAGCCAGCTTCTGACACTTCTTTAATCTGTTTATTAAGTCTAGAACATACTCGACCACAGTGGGGTCTGAACTTTCTTCCTCTAGCCAGTTTTCATACACGATCGTTTGAGGCATTCTCCAATTTTTTTCATGTACTAACTCGCAGGGACTAAAACCTGTGCTCTCATGGCTAACAGTTCTGAGGGCGAACAAAGCACATGGCAAACATTCTTCCAGTCCTTCCCGCTTTCCAAGCACAAAGCCTTCAATACCCTTTTCAAAGTGGAATGCAACCTTTCAACAGAATTGCTTTGACGGGACACACAGAAGAATGATACACCTTAATTCCGAACTTGCTAAAAAAACTCAGATGTAAGTTCACTGGTAAACGATCTACCCAAATCACACTGAATTTCCTTAGGATAACCTGATCTAGAAAAGATTTGTATCAAGGCTTGAATCACACATTTTAGAGCTTAAATTCTGTACAGGAATGGCATCTGGATATTTGGAAGCAACACAAATAGACGTAATTAAGTATTTATTTTCACGCGAACTAGGGATCAGAGGTCCTACTGCATGAATATTTAATCTGCTAAGCACTTCTGATAAAACGGGCACAATCTTTATTGGGGCTTTCTTTTTATCCCTATTGTGACTTACATGCTGACAAATATCGCACGTCCTCACAAATTCTTCAATTTCCTGGTAGCAATTAGACCAGAAATAGTGTGTCAAAACTCTATCCTTGGTTTTTGTTACCCCTAAATGACCAGAGATTTCCTCGTGGCATATCTTCAAGATCCCTTTTCCAAAAACGAGAGGCACACACTGCTGACGCTTATCTTCCCCTCTTTTAGAACCTGCTACTCTGAATAGTCTTTCCTTGACAATTATAAACTCTTTTTCATTTTCACTTTCCCTTTTCTTCCACGGGGCCGCTAAACTAGCGCAAGTTTTTTGTGCTTCCGAGAATTCTGCTGGTGAAACATCCACAGGGATAGATCTTTCATCTAAACTAATGTCTGGAATTTTAACTGCCTCCTCCGTATTACTGGTTAACTTCCTTTCTTCTGAGTGCTCATTATTGATGACCCTTTCAATTTCTATCTCTTTCTTTTCTTTCGATCTGGAATCTAAGTCTTCTGCACTTGCTCTCTCTAAACTCCTGTGCGCATGCACCTGACTACGAGTCTCCACAACATTCAAGAGAACCGGTCATTCCCTAATTTCCTCTATCAACTGTGCAGTTTCATTTCCTAACAAATAGTACTCCTTATCTAACTCTACTGGAGTAACTGCTGCTGTTTTGCACAGGCATTACACTATAATTCAATAAACTCAGGAACAATGGACTGTATTATATCTCACTTTTATTCTCATTAATTTACATCATTCATGGCCACTCGAAGCCACGAATTCTCTCACCCGCTCTTAGCTCACAATCTCATGTCACAAACTCCAAGAGCTCAAGGCGCATGCACCGACGCTAGTAATGAAAGGCGTGCGCAGGCGCAACATACTGCCCGCCTTGACATGATGTAATCATTCAAAATTAAATCTTACAATAAAAAATTACACAGAGTGACAATACGAAAATACAGGTAAAATAATTGTAAACATCAAATAATAACATCAACAAATCAAACTATATAATAAGAAAATACAATAATTAATTACAAACATACTTTGTTTAATTTGGCATAGGTAAAAGACAAATTTTATTAATTGATCTTTTAAAAATACCTCTTTCGTTTTCACTGAAAACTACTCTAACCTTATTGTCTTTGCCTAAGAAATCTCTACGATTCTGCCAAGAGGCCAGTTACATACAGGAACATTATCAATCTTTAAAAATTACCATAGTTCAACTTGACGTTGTCTTTTCAAAGAACCATTAGTTCTTCCTTGCATTGCACTCAAATAGTTATTTCTCCAATACTCAAAATTGTTTGTACTATTTTAGTCAATTTTTGCCAGCTCTTTAATCTATTATCGTTAACGTTAAAATATTAGGTTCTGCAATAGCCGTGATAGGTCTGCCTATCAGGAAGTGGCATGGTGTCAAGATATCAAAATCCTCTGGTTCGGATGATAAAGGTTGCAAGGGCCTAGAATTCAAAAGCCTTCAATTTGAGCAATTACTGTAAGAAAACTCCTCATAGTTAGTTTCAAAGTTTGCCTACTACGCATTTCAAATGAAACTTAACAGATTTGACACCTGCCTCCCAAAGACCTCATGATGGGAGCTCTAGGGGGAAGAATGAACGACCAATCAATACTCTCACTCGATAAATAATTACCTAATCATCATCTGGTTTGCTGACTAGCCTATTCAATTCTTTAATTCTGCGTTACTACCAACAAAATTGGTTG